TCACGAAAGCTCTCATAGCTCAACTTTAGATAAAACTCTGCATTCTCCGGTGAACTCTGTTCACGCCAAAAAACAAAAACTCCCTTTTTCTGTATGTAATTTAAACCGTGATCACTGAAATATTGTTGCTTCTTTACTTTTGTCATTTATCAAGCCTGGAATTGGTTAATTACAAAACGTTTTGTGACAAAAGGCCTCCTTAACACGTTTCCCTTTTTAAAAATTGCTTTTAATTTGACACCATGGTTTCACTAAGGATCCTTCTCTATCTTTTCTCAAAGGGACTCTAACCCCGAAAACGTTTTCTCAAAGGGACTCTAACCCAGAGACTTCTTCTCAAAGGGACTCTAACCCCGAGACTTCTTCTCAAAGGGACTCTAACCCCGAGACTTCTTCTCAAAGGGACTCTAACCCCGTCAGGTAGCGAACCTGTTTTTAATCTAATCTGATCTATAGATACATGACATTTGGCAGACCTCAAAACAGACCATAATTTAGTTCACTCAATTAGCAGACTTTGAATAAACAGGTGTCCGCTCTTACCTTTTGTTGAACAGGGCCCAGGCACCGTCAGAAGTCCACCAAATATCAGCTTTTCCACGTCCAACCGGGTCTCCAGATCATGAACCAGCGCTCACTAGTACCGGGAACTAGTTTCCATCGGCAGAGACCAATCACACGTCAAAAATCCCCGGAATGTGGACATGGGAAAACAATTTTAAACGCTCAGTCCAAAAAAGAGGACACAAAAAAAATATAGTGAGAGAGCGAAAAAGAGTCCCGGAGCCGGTCGCCTCTCCAGCCTGCTGGACCGCTCCCAGGCCCCAGATACTCTCAGCTCTCCCACGCCGAGAAAAAGAAACAAAGAAAACTCCCTCAAAACAATCCAGAGAATGGCGCACACTGAGCCGCGCATTCTCAACCAAATCTGTTAGGGATGAGGCAGAGAGAGACGGATCGTGGTGTGCCAAACTCTGGAAGTTTATTTAAGTTTCTCTCAAGTTCCACTGGTTTACTTTGTTTCTTTCTCTCAGACAGAATAAAGGCAGTACACAGTTTATATAGTCATTGTCACGTCACACATGGAAAGACATACGTGTCACAAAGAGACAGTCACATCATAGTCATAACATGGAGTCCTTGTAGAGTCCTGCACGTAGGCCATATTGCTATCTAATACTAACAATTATCCAATCAAAAAGTTTGGTTAGGTTATGTAATACAGTAATGTACATTGCATTTGGTTTTATCCATTATTAACCAATGATTAGCAAGTTTACATGGGCTAGTTTCCATGCTAAGATGTAATTTTCCCATTTTATTTTTTTCCAAACAAATGGTAAAACAAACAGAATAAATCATTGTTTTTGGTATACATCATACATTTATTAGTGAACAACCTTCTCAATCAGCCACAACAAACAAAAATATGATTGCACTACTTGGTAAAGCATAACTAGCAATTTTCATTTAAAAAAAGTACAAATCTTAAAAATTTCAAACAGTATACAGATGTATATATTACACTAACTAGTTATGTTAAATGCTACAAAACAATATGCCTCCAATGGAATGAAAATTATAACATTAATAAGAACCATTTCCTATATATAATATATATTAGTCGTTTTCTCCCTCCGCCCAATACAAACATGGAAAAAATGAGGTAACTGTAAATGTGCAAGTACCAAAGCAAAACATCTGCCTACACACAACACATGCCCTGGCTCTGTTGGCGGTGGGTAGTCTGGTGGTCAGGCGCGGCCCCCCCGAGGCCAGGGAGAGTAAGAACAGTAAACCACTATCCCACCACAGCAAAACTCATTGGTAAACAATACATGGAATCTACGGAGCAATCAATCACAAATCCTAAATAAATTTTAGCTGCTTATTGGAACACATTTTTCACCACACAAGCTGTGAGATTATTCAGAAACCGTTCAAGAGACTACAAGACTCTGTTGTCACCTAGGTTTAAATGGGCTATATGCATTCATTTAGCTGGGTTGTGGTTACGGTCAATTAAATAGATACTTTCAAACGAAACAGTGCTAACATTAATCAGGTTATCTATATGTGAACAATACATTTTAAATATTGATACACAGAGCAAGAGCCTGATAGAGGCAGGTACAGTACTACATTGAAAAAAGTATGACAACATTGAGGTTCTTTTTTTTTAAATCCTTATTTCTACTGATCTGCACTGACAGTGTTTCAGATATTAGTATAACATGCTTTAAGAATACATGGGATCCATGACAAACTATTGCATTCACGCAAAGTGAGATTTCATACCTAAAAGCAGAACACCTAGCACCTTGTCACTATGGCTTTTGATAAACTACAGTAGTTTCAGAGCGTGTTTTCAGTCATCAGGGCATTAACAGGAACACAATGTAAGAAGATCTGGACTTAAAACCAGCATTTTTTCTTATAAAATAAAGTTAGCGCAATAAAATCTTGTAGTCATTCAGTTCTATTAAAAATGTGTGCAGTACAATGCATGGCAGTTATCAGCTGAGCGTTAAGATCCAAACCCCAGAACCCAAAGCCAACGAGAGCTAAAATCACTTGGGATCTGGTTGACACGCATGCATATTGTGCACCATTAAACAGGTCCTCGCCAGAGTTTGAGAAGTCCTCCGTCATAACACATTTGTAATCTTTTTTTAAATCATGCAAACACCTTGGAGTAGATCTGGGAGTAAAATAGGTAGATAGTACGCACTGTGGCACGTTTAGAAACGAGATCACAACCGCTATGCTTCAACATATGGTTAGAGTACATGAACAAAAGTCCAAAGTATTGAATAATACACTTGTTATGAGTAGCAGTGCCTCTTTTCAGCGAATATCAATATATTTTCTGAATTTTTTTTCTTGCATGCCTGTCTTAAACAATGTCTTAATTACCATTTCAGACAAAGAAAGAATAGTATAATTGATTACATTAAAAGATTTAAGGTCTGAAGAAAACGACCAAAACTAAACTCAGATATACCCTTTTCATGGCATCCAATCCATTGGAAATGGACTCTTATCCTTTGTTTTATATACCGAGAGGCCCTGAGTATTTTTTTTAAACTTACAATATATGCCAGCGAATAGATATGTACACATAGGTTATTCTCAAAGCTGTGGGTTAAACTTATTAAATGGCTTCTTTTTTCTCTTGAAGGTGGCAGACACACAAGACTCACATTCACTTAAGAAACAAAAGTCAAGGAAAAGGCGAGACTCCTCACACTGAACAAGGGTCTGAGGCCTGTTAGTGCTTACTGGGGCAGTTTGGGGACAAGAGTTAATACAAAGCAACAAATTCATCTGTGGCTCTTTCCTCCCCATGTCCTGCGATTTTTTTTCTCTTATATTTTTTTAAGCTGGAAGTCGTTTGGTGTCCCTCCACTTCTGGATTCTCCCATTTACACCCTCCAGATCACAGGATGGGGAAAGTGAGCAACACCAGTGACTTCTTCACTAACATTCTTCTGTCTTCGAACGTTTATCTAAAGCATTCACGCTGACACAATACATACAATTGCTTGTTTACATTAGCATTACCATGGCCTAAGATTGACCTGACCAAGTCACCAGAATATAACACATACTAGACACATAGTTAGTGCTCCGTCTGTTTCCTTCAATGGATTTTCTCAACAAGATAGAAACCAATAAATAAACGTGTTTTTTTTAACTGCATACATCCAACACAAGATAAAACAACATTTTTTCAGGATTAACAAAAAGGTTTGTGCTTGTCAAGGTCAGTTGAAGGCAGATCCGTTTTTTTGAACAGTAGGCTATAACTGTAGAATGGATTTGGCTCACTAACAAATGAACAGCCCAGAGTTCCTAAAGCGGAAGAAGAATATTTGTAAAACTCTCCCTCACGGCACATATTGCTTTCTGCACAGGCCTTAGTCCATGGCGCGAGAGCACAGCCGTCTGAAATCTACTGTCCTTTAAACATAGACAGTGGAACGACATGCTAGTTCTGCCCACAACGCCTTCTGAACAAGCAAGTAGTTTAATAGATGCTTCTTTGTTACTTCTTTTAATACATTTAGGATTAAGATTTTGGTGGCAATGCTTGAATAAAATATTGCTAATCTGAATCAACAGTTCATGCAAACCCAAGCATGCTGCCCTGTATCCAGTGGTTACACAATGCATTGGCTCTGTGAGCAGGACAAACAGTATGCACACGCGCGTGGAACAACTTGCCAGAGGAAAATGGCTGATGTGAAGAATGAATGTAGCACTTGTGCAGTAAGATGACCTCAAAAAGACAGTCTCGTATTACTTTTTTCCCGAGCAGATTATCACGGGGGCAGCAGCGCCCCAAAGTTACACAGCCTGTCACTTCACAGTTCGACCTGGCGCTTGAATCTGCATTAAACCACAGCAAGTCAAACATTCACAATAGCATTGGCAAATCTAACAGAAGGAGTAAAACTGTTTAAATGATCAATACATTATTGCAGAACATACATTAACAAGTCACTTAGCCCAACACCTGCGTACGCATACATGCATCTATGATGGTCAGGCGGTGCCCCCAAACACAGATACCCATGCTGTGAGGAATGCCGATCCCATTTCTGCTCATTGCACAAGTGTCCAGCTTTCTCACCCCAAGCTCCCGACCAGTCCTACACTGTCCTTGTGACCACAATCAGATCCAAATCAAATTGAAACCCTGTAAACAAAAGCAGCGAATAATGCATTGTAGGGAAATCTTTGGAATCTGTGACAAAGGGGACAGAGACAGCAGTGGCTGGCAATCCACGACTGTGGCTATAGGCTGCAGTAGGCAGTGGGTTTCATGAGAGTCTGACAATGACGCACAGCAGAGGTACAACAGGCTCCAGATATCCTGGATTGCTTTTCAAAGAGAAAGGACAGGAGTGGGTCGGTAAGCTAAACACTGGAGGCGCAGGTTCAGGCGCAGAGTCCTAGCCTCAGGACAGAGTGAAGCACAGTCCAGCAAGAGCTCTTCACTCCGCCTCCCGGTGCACGTCCGACGCATCAGCTCGGCAAATGGGACAAGTGCGATTGGTCTGAAAGTGAAACGAAGATACAATTAAACTAAAGTCACAACATTTTAAACTGTGTAGTGGCATCTAAATGATTACAGAAAAACGTTCAACCTACCTTTAACCATTTATCCACACATTTTGCGTGGAACTCGTGGTTACAAGGTAATACCCGAAGTAGCTGCCTACACTCAAAGTCACTAAAGCACACAACACACCTAAGAGAAAAAGAGAAAATAGTCAGATCCTGTATAAAACAAACTGAAAACTGGTGATTATTAAAAGGGCTCACAGCGTTTGTTCAGAAAGATGATTCTCAGAGTTGAATCTGTACGATGGAAGTTGTTCTATATCTGCTTTAGTGAGTCCACGAGGTTTCGCCTCTCCCAGCCTCTCAGCCAGATTCAACAGTGCCTGCAAACAAAAGGAAAGATGAGTCCTTAGTTTCACAGAATAGAAGATTCTGTCTCGTTCTACAGCATGTAATTGCTGTAGTGTGAAAACTCCAAATACAGCTGCTGTGCCAACACCGGGCCAAGTTTCAGGTCGAATGTGAAGTGGTGGAGTATCAGGGAAAGAGTCTATCAGTAAACTTAATATCGACACTATTCTGAAGTAACGCCATTGAACAATAAGTGAATAGCTCCCTTTTTGAATAATTACATTGAATCCAATGATGTGAACTTCTCATTCTGAAAGCCATAGATACCTCATAGTTCTCCATCTCCACATCGTCCACATCCAGGTCGAGGCTGATGGCAGGGCCTACTGCCGTGGGAGGCACCGGAAGCATTGATCTGGACACACACAAGGAGCACCGTTTACCAAGGAGGTGTCATTACGCCATTTATAAAACATGTGTCCTGAGTTTACTTACAGGAAGTAGGGGAGGAATCCAGGGTAGTAGGAGGGAGGAGGCGGCGGAGGGGGCAAGGGCTGCTGTGGTCGGTATCGTTGTCGTCGTGGCAGCATGTGGGGGTATGGCTGCAAGACAAACAGAAACTTTTAAACATACGGCTAAGATTTGGACCACTTGAAAAATACCATAACATTCATATTTAGTTGCAGTGAAAAACACAATTAGTTGCAATTAAAAAAAACAATTAAAATGAGACAGGCCATTTTACAGATGATCAAATGTTTAACCCCACATGCCTTTAACACATGCCTTTATGAATGCCACTGAACTGACCGTTGGATTTTGCAAAAGAGAACTAGACTTGGAACATTGAGAGGTGGAAGAAAGTTTTATTCTGTTACGAGAAAAGCGGACCCTTGTTGGTCCTAATGGTTTCCAATGGTTACTGGCAACAAGCAGATGCTGCCTGAGATGCATCTGGAGGGGACGACATAATGATCTTAATGGCTGCTTTTTCCGTTGTTCCTTCAAGGGAACAATGGAGCGTCAAGACAAACTGGGGCATCCACCCCCCTGAGACGGTGTTTCAGGGGGGTGAAAACGCAAACGCTGAGAAATAGGCTCCAGAGTAAAACAGAACAGATATGCTGCGCTGTGGCGGGATGTTTCACAGCCGCGTGAAGAGAAAGGTGTGGATTCTCCGACTGCTATGACCTCACCACTTCCCTGCACATACATTTGGACATGCGCAGAAGCCAAGAACAAAAGTAAACAACATTAGCGGTGGATGAACTAATGCTACATGTGTTTCGACTGGTACACACCTGGCCTGTGAAAGGCGGTATATAAATAAAGATTTCTTACTTACTTACACGGAAAATTCTACTCTTTCGTCCGTCCAAACAAAACCACGCAAAGCTCTAGTTGCAGAAATTTTTTGGTGCAGTCTTTCACGTCTTTGTGGTAGGGCTGCAACTAACGACTAGTCACCGACTATTGAAACAATTAGTCGACTAATCGGATAAGCGGATAATCGGATAATTTTTTTTCGTCTTATATTTAGCCTGAAGTTGCTTTAATTATGTGGCAAATGATTAAAAAAAAAAAACAAGAAAGATGGGTACTACTTTGCTGCTGGTTCATACAAAATAAAAATGTCCTATCTAAGTATAGACCATTGCTTCTCAATTATTGTTTGCCAGGCCCCCCTTAGGTAGAGGAAAACATTTTTTTTTAGCTAAAAAAAACAAAAACAAAAAACGCTCTCAGCCCAAAAAGTAAAATATTGACTAACATGGTTTTCTCTTAATTATGCAAAAAATAAACATATAAACAAGACTTGCATTATAAATGCGAGGGAAATTTAGGTACCCCAGCTTTAATTTAGTGAGTTTTAGTTTCAGGGCTGCAGGAGGAGACACGGGGGACACTTCCAGAGGCTCACATAGTTCAGCTTCTCACAGCTCTGTATTTATAGCGTCCACAGGTTGTACAAAGATCCGCACTTGTTCCACGCTGTTTTCAAAGCAGCTTCACAGAACCGATGTCATTCACAACAAAGCGGCCACGCTCCGGGATCTTGGTCTCTCTCATGCTTTCTCTTCAAATGTTTGTACATCACCGAGTTGCTGCCGTGATATGCAATGTCTGCTTTGCAAATCTTGCAAATAAACTTTTTATTTGCTGTATCCAGACTATAATGCTCCCAAACTTTAGAAGTTTTTCAACACGGAGCTGACCGCTATTATATTAGATCCATGGAGCTGATGGACACCGCCATTACTGTTTACGTTTCCGCTCGATAGACGCTCTTGCGCATGTGCGACTCTCGGCAGAGATTGTTTGTGAGACGGGGGAGGCCTCACTCTGTTGGAAAAACACGTCTGGCGACAATAGTTGACAATGGAATTCATTGTCGACTATTTTTATTATCAATTTTTGTTGACAACGTCAACTAGTCGTTGCAGCAGTACTTTGCGGGGGCCTGAGGAGGATATTGTTGAGGAAGGGATTATACTGGTGGGGGTTGTGTGTGTCATGTTGTAAAGTTCCACTGCCCTGAGCAGGCCGGGCGCTAAAACTACATGGTTTTCCGTCGATGTGTAAACGCTATGTACCTCGAATAAGGAGCCTGATTGTTTTTGCCAATTGCGTCGCAGCATCTCCATCTTCACGGGCCTTAGGCTCTTGTCTGTGTGTTAACTGGGGTTTTCAACAATGCAACATTTCACAATGCCCCCAGGACAAGGGAAGGAAAACAATATCACTCTTTAGCATCCCGTCTTGTTTATTAAATACATCTAAATGTCTGTGTGCGGTCGTTTTCACCACTTTTGCTTGCATCAAACATGCCGACTCATTACTTATGTTTGAAACTTTTCTTGGGAACTTTATTGAATCATGCAAAATGTTTTGTGGTTATTAAGTGGTCCGAAATTGTGATCAGGACTGTATAGAAAACTGCATAGAAAAATATCTAGGGTCTTTTGAGTGTGTGGCGAGCCGACTGAGCCTACAAGTGTGTCATGCGATTATGTAGGTCGCACTAAAATAGTTTCTCTCACCACTCCAAAGGGAAGCTCCTGATGCAGAGGCTCTTGAGGAAGATATTGTAGGGGTAAAGACGGAGGCAGCGCTGGTGGGTGGTGGGACGAAGGGTACGAGAAGGTCCCAAGTGGGTGCTGGTCCCCTCTTAGGTCCACTTCATTGTCCACCCTCTGCAGAGGCTAAAGCAGTATATAACACACATAACAGTCAGTCTGTACATTGTAAATTCATGTTTCACTGTGACAGAGAATTATTTTGCTGAAAAAGTCTGATATCAAAGTATGTGCAATAAATCTAAAAAATGTCAGGTTTTTGTTTATTGGCAAGATAGTAAAGTAACTGATGATTTTCTTGCTGCAGTGGATGAATGTGCCATTATAATTCTTCAATTCAAATTGCACTTGAAATCAGCAGACCACTCACCATGCGTGGGTGCTGAGGCTGTAAAGGGACGAACTGGCTCAGAGGAGTAAGGTGCGGTGGCTGGTGGGGAGGGACAGAGGGCGTCGGGTGCAATACAAAATGTTCACTGGAGATCAGGGGCGGAAAGGCTTGATAAGACACTGGCATGTGCTGCATGGTGCACGCCTGAATGAGCTGAAAGAGAGGGCACACACAAAAAGAACATTCAAGTCACACAATTGTCCAAACTACCACACAGAAGCAGATAGCGTTTTCACACCAAGTGGTCTGAGAGTATGTTTGAAAAGGTGCTGTTTCTAGCTTGTTCTGTTGCATTTATTGCATACGACAAATTATGTTTGTAACCGCTTTCACTATGCATGGTGCCATCTTTCCGTTTTAATTTTGTCATTTAAAAACAAAACAAAAATGCTGAATTTCACTTTATCTGGAAACCCAAATGAGATAAATGTTGCTCTCTAATTACATATCGTGCTATATTCTTAAGAAACATAAAAAAAAAAAACTTTAAACGCTTATTCAGACCAATTATGATTTGTACAAGTTGACCCGTAAATCTGAGGACACTATGTAGATGTAATTTTAAATAACGATAAACCGTCTATTTAATAGACCGAAACAGCTACAATTAATTTGAGTCATGTAAAATTTGACTAAACTGTGGGCATGGAACTTTATGGAAATGCGTTATTAATTACAACATGGCACTGAATGATTCAATTCTGGTGACGAGCAATGTGTTACATAAACCACAACACGGACAACAAAGCCACAACACAAGCTTGCTATTTTTTTTCCCCTGCACTATAAAATGTGATAGTAAAGTGAAACTTGTACTGCACTATCAAAATGTTGCACAATAAAAGCTCACTACTGTGAACAGTGACAGATTGCATGGCGGGATGGTGCGCGACATGGATGCCACTGACATTTGGGCTCTTCCTTTTCAAACTCACAGGAGGAGGAAGGCAGCAGAGCAGAGAGAGCTGTCCGCGGAACATTACCGAGCATGCTGGCAGCTGCTGAGTGCTGCACCCGGGAAGGGGCTGCCCAGCGTGGATGGGGAAGCCATGGGTTGTCACCGTGGTAACAGTGTATGATATTGGAACGGACCCCTGGTGCATCTACAAACAGAAAGACAACACATTAACAAATTACTAATTCATTCTGCCCTCATATTCAGTCCAATTAGGCTACAAGTTCAATTACAAGTGCATTAGTATGAACTCTGCCAAGGGTGCTTGTGCTTGTATGTGAGCAAGAAAACAGTGCATTGTAAGTAATTTTCCCAGTGCAAGGATACACGGACGTAGAATGTGCATCACCTGTTCGTGTAGATCCACCATGATGGGGCTCTGCTGGGGCAGGTGGGCCGCAGGGTGAAGCATGCGTGGCGATGTGCTGGTATGGCTATATTGTCGGGACTCATCTAAAGGAACTTGTTGGTGGTGATACTGAGAGAAAAGCAAATGGTGCAGGTTCTCATCATGAACCAGGGAAGTGTGCAGTACAGGTCTGTCTCGACGGCCCCACTGGCGTCTCACTGGTGGGCTGCAGAGAAAAGCAAGCAGTCATTTCCTGGTGAAACTGTTGGGATATATATAGTTTACAGATATTCTAAGATTGAATTAAGATTCAATTGCTTCTTGAGTTCCTCACTTCAGGAACCACCTCTCTGTACTACACAGTTATACTTTTGGTCATAATCCAGGCGGCCCACTACGGGTTCTTAATGCTTTTTTAAAAAGAATGCTACATGTTCATCACGCAATCTTACAATTCAATTTCATCACATCACTTTAAAGCTTGTTTGAGACAAAAACTTACAACATGACAAGGGTTGGTGCTCTGTGAATTGGGTGCAGCGCTGACTGCCACACACCCGACCCAGAAATGGATTAAGGGGAAGAAAATGGATGGATCAACATGACTAGTGTGCACTACAAGATTACCTTCTCCTGAGATGCGCAGGGGTGTTGCAGGGCTCTGCAAGGAACCTCCGGGGGTTTAAGGGGGCTGTTGGTGGCAGCCTATTCACTGCTACTTCCCATGGTCGCATTGGTGACGTCGTGCAGACGAGTCACACTCTGGAAATGGAAGGTGTCCAGTGGAGGCACTTGGATGTGGCCTCTGATTGTCTACACCCTGGAAAAACAAACAAAAAATATTACTCCCCTTACATTTATTTCACACACATAGCTAAATGAGGTGAGATCAGTTGACAGTAGACAATCTACAAAAACTATGTATATACAGTATATACAGTACATAAAGTAAACAAACAAAATAAAACATGGTTTTAAAACAGTACCTCACATAATTATTGCTACATTTTGGTATTAACCACACAATTTCAGACAATTACAAAACACATCGAATCAAAAAAAACACTATATATATATATATCATCATGTTTTTGACGCAAACATACTGTCCTATACAGTTCCAAATAATTATACATATGCGACAGATCTCAAATGATACAAATAGGGGTCGCTGTGGCGCGCCAGGACAAAAACATGAGAAGCCATGTGCTCAGAGACAAAGCAACAACAAAGACACACCAGAGAAACAAACGGGGCAGCGGGCCATTTCGGGACTAAAAGGTGCTTCTCGAGATATCTTGTGTACTAAACAAACCCGAACAGAGCTTTTCGTTATTATTTATCCAGTTTATTACATAGCAGCGAGAGAGGAGGTTTCACGTCCGACCTCTCAGCTGAAGGAGAGCTGCTAACTTTAGCCTGACTCCACTAGATCTTTGTCCAGCAGCTGCAAACAGGACATCATAAAAACATCAGCGCATATGGATTTAACTTTTAAATATAGGCAACAATATGAACAATACCAGTGTTAGTGTAAATAAATAGATGGACAAAATCTTTATGCTGTAGGGTAATAAAGCAGGTTAGCCATATTGAACTGCACCACCAATCAATGAGGGATACATTTAATAGAGTTTCAGGGTAGTCTCTCATTCATCAACAAAAAACATTAGTTTAGAGAGAAACACAACTTCCATCATTTCCACCTTTCGCAGTAGTTAGCGTCTTGTCCTAATTCTGGTAAACAGGGCAAACTAGCATTTGGGTTAGCAGGAATATAGTACTCTATGCTTGGTGGCCTTCTACCCAGAAAGTCGCTTATTTAGTGCGGTGGAAGTACTTAGGCTTCATCCGCGTTTTCAAAACAACATTCTTACCTGACACAAGCCAAATCCAGCCAAGGCTTTTGACAATGCCCCCGACTCGCGGTGATGCTAGTAGCCCGCTAATGCTAACGTGCTAACCAATGCCTGTAGTTGCAGCATGCAGGGCTACTTCAGTCCAGAGACTAGATGAAGATGTGCATACGTTTTAGTAAAGTGGTCCGGGGGTAAAAGTACCGTTAAACTCAGTCCAATGTGACAGACAGTTAGCTAAACCACGACAACAACATTCCCTGGCGCGTGCATCATGTCCCTTGTATCTCATTGTTATGGACAAGTCCCGCCCCCTGCTCCGAGCGCGCACCAATCAACGCGCAGCAAACACAGACTGCCAGACGAGCCATGCAAGCGCGGATCAAAACAACAAGCCCTCCTCAGCAGCAGCTAATGCATAAAGAAGCACTGATGATAGACGCCCTATGGCATATAGTTTAATCTGAAAGAAAGACGTTCAAATGTAGTGTATTGCTTAACCAATGTAGATACTCTGGTACTCAGCAGATAGCTGATAAACCCAAAACAGGTTTTCAATAGTTTATAATTATTTCTGAAATCCCTGCAGGGCATGGAAATTTTATTTCCGGAAACATGAGTGGACTTCCACTAGGCAGCTCAATACAGCCAGACAACTGTTTTCCACCCCCCCTTCACTCTTCTCATAATGAAACACTGGAAGTATCTATGAATAGAAACCTCTTATGACTACATGTTGAACATTAGTTCAACACTAATCAAAACCAGAAAATACCCCAAAATATGATGAAAGTAGTAGTTAAAAATGTTAATATTTTTGTATTAAGTTTAGTTAAATAATAATTGTATGATACATTAGAGCGTGTTGAGCTAATTAAATATTCAAATACATGATCAAATAAATGTGTAATATTAAAAAGACATGATGAGGTGACGTGTAGTTGTTTGGCCAAATTGCTACACAATAATATTGTGAACATTTGTCCAACTAAGATATCTTATGAAAAAAATACCATTGCAATTTATTCATTTTCCTGAATAAATAGAAGCTTTCAAAACACAGGTTGGAAAACCATGCATATCAAATGATCAAGAAACAATACTGTACAGTTTCCTCTCTGGAGACTGTTACCATAATGACATCACATAGATGGATATCCCACAGACTCAAGCAGTTGGAAATCTATAAATAACACAGCTATTTACCATGATAGCCTACATACAGTGACACATCTAGTCTAAGAGGACCCAAAGCTGTATTCGTTGACTAAAGAAAGAACATGCAGCAGCGTCATTTTAGTCACATTTAGGCCTACTTTCCAAATACATACATTTAAATAATGGAAATTAAAAAAGGGCCTTAGCAGCAACAATCTAGTCCACAGGTGTCAAACTTTTAAATCGTGCATCACATAAAGCTGGTGTAACCACAAACAATGTAACCATATAATAACATCCTTGTAACTAGTTCCTGGCTATGAAACAATTAGCTTTCACATGCATGTCTTTTACATCTTTAGATCAGCTTTTTCAGAAAGAAAAGAGACGACCACCCTCACTCAGCCAATCAGCTCTCAGTCTAAAGCGTCAAATAAGGACTAATGATGATTTTTGTTCACAGCATTTTTTTTAAGATGCCTTTATTGAAAGACACTGTACACCTACAGTAAGTAAGCTCAAGGACCATATTTTATGTAGGCAACGCTGGATTGGACATTGTTAGATTCACAAATTCAGAATCTAATCACCTGTAGAAGCTTTCTAGGGAAAGGCTGTGAGAGAGCCATATATAATAACTCAGTCTCAGCGCAAAGATTACTGAAAGAATGGACAATGAAGATGCAGAAATCTTGTGGAATTTGTGGGTTCAGAGGAAGTGCATCACAAATTAATGGTGGCTCCAATTCAACACGTGCACATTAGTACACAGCACTCCAAAGTAGACTATACTTGAAGTCACTGTTCAAGCAGGTGGGGAGGGGGATTAAAGTACTATTACTACCACGCACACGCACACGCACCAGCCTGTTGTCAGCCATTACTGTGTCACCTGATGGATCAGGCTTACTTAGGTATATGTACTAAGTAATATAGATCTGGCCTAATACCACAGAAATAAGCAATACTCTTTATTGCGCATCCCGCTGCTTTACTGCGGCCCTGTTATTGGTCCGCTGTGCTCTGACTCTCTTTGGAGGCCACTGTGTCCTGCTAGACACCAGCCGGTTATATAATGCTGGCCTCGCATGATCATGTCATCTCTCTATGTTTTCAACGAGTAAACGAAAACATAGAGGGATGTCTACTCTACAGGTATTCAGTGAAACTCCAAGGTTACCACTGTTTGGTTCTTTATTCTATCAGAACTATTAAGTGCAACAACTGGTGATCATTGTGCCAACGACTTTACGCATCACACAGACTTGCACCGAACGGAACCGTGTTCAAGGAGATTAAAGTGCAACATAGATCCAATGTAAACAATACAACATCATTCATGGCAGCAGCAAAACAAGGAGGGGCTGGAAGCTGATGATGGCAGCCCTCACAACAAGCACAGAGAGTCGGCACAGTCAGCGCGCCCCAAACACCAGAGGAAATACGAGATGGACTGGAACAGTGCCGTTACCTGATTGTTAATAAGCAGTCATTGGATCCCACTGTTTTTCTCGTAATGTTCACATTTCGCTGGGCTAAGTGCGGCATCCTGTGGTCAGCTGTTCGCGAGTGGTACATTCCGTGGGTTTAACCACTGCTGAAAATATGTTAAATCCCTTCTGTTTTACGCACATACGACTGCTGCCCTGCGTCGGTATGGTCCACACATCCAAACAGTATTCCTTCAGCCTACATTATGTTTTCAGTTATCCTACAAAACCAGCCTGTGTCTCTCTTGTTTCGGCGTTTTGGAGCTTGGCGTCACACCCCCATGTTTGCGTATTTCCAGACCGGACCTCGCATCCGGAGCTGCCATTTTTACCGTAATGGACCAAAAACACGCAACGCATTCAAGTTTATAAACGTTCATGTCAGGATACAGTCTGTGGTCAGGGGGTGGGAATACACTGTCCACCGAGAAGGAAAATAATGTATGCATTCAACTCTAGGCTATATATTTCTTAGAGGTTGGTATAATTAAAGCTTGGGTACCTGAATTCTCTCAACCATTAATAATATGTTTTTTTCTGCAACTGAAAGGGTCTTGAAGTTAAATATTGTGAACAGATCAGACCACAACATGCTGTCTTAGTGTCTTCATCTATTTGGAAACATAAGAGTATGAAAGATCCCTGTGAGTCTCTATTTGACGCAGAGAACTGAATGAGGGGGGTTCTTATTCACGTTATCTAGCTGCAAAAAAATGTGGAAAGTAGTGAACAAAACCTTTGACAGAGAAAGTATAGTTACACTGGATAGATTAGATTTGGCTTTTGGCTCACTTTCATCTTTTAGAAGTTAAAGTGAATTTTCAAATGCACTCACATTGTTTTAGTTCTGTTCGAATTGTCGAGTGTTTTATGTTTTTTTATATGCCCTATGCTGCTCAACAGAATTGCCCCTGGTGGGATAAAATAAAAGTAGTTCAAATCCTCAGTACCCCAGTTTTAAGTGTAACCAACCATACATGATAATGAATAATATCCAAATATGGTAATAATGCAACGTTATTAATGTGGAATTTACACAAATCGATGAATAAACAACTACAGACAGTGACGAGGAAATAGCTCCGGTATTTTGGTGAACAACTAATAAAGGCCCAAACCCGGAATACTGGCTTTATATATGATTTTTTTTATTCGTTTTATCTAACTAAAATCTGTTAAGCTTCAGGGAATAGGTTTGATAACATAAAAACATTGGGAGTATGTCCTTATTGCTTTATTTATGCAACGAACACACCCCTGACCCCAATTACAAAACCTTATCAGATTTCCTTGTTGTATTTTACGGTCCACAGCTTCATTCTGTTTGAATTATTTGTGTGAGCCCTTGCTAAGATAGTTATAAACCAAAGTCTAGAGATTAACAAAGGGACAAACGCCACAGCATGAAGCACACTTTGGTTCTGTCAGATATTAGTCATTTAGGGTTATACAATCTACACAGGAATGAGTGTTGAGGAAAATGTAATCATAATATCTATAAAGCGATTTTTAAAATAATCTATTCAATTTCAGCTGTTATGAAAATTCAGAGCTTTTGCCTTATTTTTCTAAGTAATTATATTATGCTGTATCAGCTTTAGTGTTGCAGGGTTGTGAATGTCAAACTGTATATTCATGCTAAAATAGAACAATGTCAACACCACACACAGCTATTAAAAAGTTGGTAAACATTAGAATTCCCAGAGCAGTCAGTTTGACGGCTTTTAGTGTTGGAAGTGTAACTCAGCTCATGTACATTTGTGATTTTTTCTGTCTCTATTCATAGTTTATTTCTGCCATTTATGATTTCCTCAAATTCTCTTTTTATTTTGAAATGTGAGTAGTTCTGCTTTTGACTCCCAGACTCCATTGTTTTCCACCAGAAAAGAGCAAGTGCTACCATAGCAACACACTGTTTACATGCTATCAGTTAGCATCAAGCCTTTCAACAAACTGTACCAATTTATATCAACCAGTTTTAGCACTTATTAAAAGCCACAGCCATGTGTGCTTCTGAACCCGCCTCAAATCTGTCAATCTTCGGCATAAGTATACTGATACTTGCTCAAATTAATACAGTTTCAATACTCGTTTAGAATGTATTCATATTTTATTTTCCATACTCTTAACAACCCTAAACAGCTTAAAAGTAAATTATTTAAATCTCATTGTATTCATAACTTAAAAGTCTGTTTTTCACATGAATGAAATCCAAATGAAAACATGAGGCATAACTGTCCATTGTTCTGTGCTTTTTCATGCAGATGGAGAGAGCAGTGAATCATGGGAAGAGAAGGTCCCTCATTAGAGAAACACATACTCTGTTGTTTTTGAAGCAGACTGAGTTCGCTCCTCACTGGAGACAATCAAACACCAACGCTGATGGTGTCCGTCAAGATGGGCCAGAGGAGGATTCACGGTTGGTTTGGCTTTGGTGGGAACTAAAAATTTTAGTCTTGTTCAAAGTATTGTTTGTTCACTTTTGCTGACATGTAATGAAGCTCCAGTCCAAATCACACAGATTTAGAAGATGCTTTTATTGCTCCTACATTACATGTGTTAATGATTAATGTTTACGACGGCAGGGCGATGATCACTAGGAGGACCAAGAGCCAAAGGTCTCAAACAGATCCCAGGAAAAGGAGAGCTCCGATGTGAATGTCTTCTGGTAAGTTGACTTTTACTATTAAATTTGTCTTATTTTGTTCTCATTTGTTTCAAAAATCAATATGAGCGTTGTGTTATACTGGAAAGGAAACATTTTGACTTTCAAGCTGGAGTACCTAACTTTTTGATGTAACCTAGCAGAAAGTCTTGTTTAAGTAACATTTTGTGAAAAAATTAAACCACAACAAGCATTGTTTAATTTATATTAAAAAAACATTGTATTGAGCTGATGAAATGTGAAAACCTGTGAGAGAACAAAACCGTTTTGGAGAGCAATTGTTTTTTATTACATTGTTATTGTTTTGTGGTTTCAAACTCCAGCTTTAACCAAGCATATTATACAGTCGATTTTAAGTTATTTACACTCTTATCTCTGTGTATTTTCAAATCAAGTAATATCTTTAAAAGCACTGCCAAAAATGAGTTATTTTTTGTAAACATACAGACTAATATACAATATATATGATGTTTATCATGAAGCGGATTTGGATTAGTCTGACAAATTATAAATACCTTTATGGATTTTCACAGAAATGGGCTTGACTTCCATATTTGTGCTGTTGTTTTGCTGGTCCAGTGTTGCAAATGGTATGTGAGATCAAAACCTTTTTTTCAATTAGGGATTATACAGGCAATTGTATAACATCCAGCCCATTTACAGGAAACACTGCACCTGATATTGTGGAGACCGTTTACTCCACTTGTGAGGACACCCCAAAAGGTATGCGCTACAGACATCCATTCACGTGCACAGTGATGGGATTGAAACTGAAATGTTACATACAACACAGTGTATGTTGCATGAGAGAAGGGAGTAAACCTGTTATAGCTTGTAGTCTCATGTACTTTATGTTGTCTTTGAACTAATAACCTGGTGTTCCAATGCCTAATGAACTCCTTTACGTAACTGAAATGAAAATCAGCCTATGAGAAATACTTATCTCTTATCTTATTAAAGGAATTGTTGTCACTTCGGAGTATGAGTCTGAGTTTTAGTCAATATTACTATATCTGATGTGAATGTGACAAATGTAATTTAAAATATTCTTTTTCAAATTCTTTTATCTGACAACAAGTTCACTGTTTTAGGTGCTGTTGCGTTCCAAATTCTTGCAACTGATCTAGACGGTGATCCTCTGACCTATTCATTGGATGGGCCTGAAGCCGTTTACTTCACGGTGGAGCCATCCACCGGGGTTGTGAGATTGGCCATGGAACTGGACAGAGAGGTTGGATAACATCTAGAGCACCAACAATGATTTTGTCAATACATTCACTGCAAAAACACAAGCTTAGTACTTCTCTATTTATGTAAAAATAAAAAAAATAAAACCCTATTAGTAAACACAAGTTGAAATCTATACTTCTTATGTACTAACACTATTCCTTCTTGTTAACAATAGACCAGGGGCTTCTGTCTGCGGATCCCCCTCCGCTTGCATGCATGTGTGGTAGTTCTGATGTGAAACCCGCTGTTCAGTGGAGCAAACAAAGTTGAAGATTTTACACCTCCAATCTACAGTTGAGAGAACAAGCTCTGTGATCTAGTTTCCTCTATCATAAATTATGCCAAAAGACAAACTAGAATAATATGATGCAGTATACTGGCATGGTCTCTTTAAACAGTTGTATTTGTATTATTTCAGACAAAACCGTTCTTGGACGATCTGGTAGCCGTAGTTGGTGACCCTCACAATTCGGTGAGCAAAATATATATCAATTATCGATGTTCACTTATACAGTACCTGCTAAATCTGTTTAATTATTACTAAAACATTACTGTGTTTTGTGCTTCTCAGGTCAAAAGGGTCAGAATATTGGTTACAATAACCGATACAAATGACAACAGACCTATTTTTGAAGAGGCTACATATGATAAAAGCATTCCAGAGGTATGTATATAATATTTAAGAGCACCTACTAATATAGAGGACGATTTAAAACTAACTCACAGAGAATAATTTAGGACTGGAACTAATAATCATCATATCTAATAGTTTTTTTTCAATATTGAACAACTGTTTTAGTAATAAACAAATCATTAACTGTCAACAAAGCAGTGACAATATTTAAAACAAAGAATCAGATTTATGTCAAATAGAATGAAATCCCAAATTTGTGTCAACTAATCATTCGTTACAGTCCTAAACTATTTAATTCCAACTATATTGTAGATGTGAGAACGTTATTTAAGGTTTTGTATCTTATAAATCTCCAGAACACACTGGTTGGCAACACCCTGTTCAAAGTAAAGGCCACGGACGCTGATGAAACACTAGTTACCTACAGCATTTCAGAGGTAACTTTGTTTTCTAGAAATATTTCCAAAAGGTTGAAATATATTGATGTGGATGTATGTTTTTTCAGTCTGTTCCTCGTTCAGGCCTGGATGTGTTCAGGGTTGACAGGTTTGGTAGTGTCATACTCAAGGATAAACTGAACTATACATCAATAAGCACTTTCTATCGGTTAAAGATCAATGCAACGGTAAGTTTGGCACGCATCATGAATCACAACTATTACCTTTGAAAAGAAACCAAAAGAAAGTAATCCACTTATACATCATTCTCACAAATAGTCCAGACATTTGTAAATTTCTCCTGTGTGAGATTGATAGAGTATATCCAATCTTATCTTATTTACCACACATGTAACAATGGTTTAACTGGGAATGATTTGACTGTTTTTTGCGGAATCTGCGGGATTAAGGCAAGATAAGTTTGTATTGTACAATTCATACATAAATCAGCGCTTCACACAAAACAAAATTACAATAACATTAACAGACAATAAAAAAACCTATTCAAAACAAATACTCAAGGTACATTTATTTGAAAATAATAGTTTTGTTTTTTTCATCTTTCAGTTGTTTACTGCTGTTTTAGACACACCACCTATACTTATGATTCTGGAAATGTTTTTTAGACAGTGAAACCCTGCCGATATTACTGGTTTGATGAACCTTTAGAGTCCATTAGCGTCTGTAAACAACCCCATAGATTTCTGGGTTTTAGGGAGAGAGACTGGAGGTGACTGTCTTTGTTTTGGTTTACAAACGACAATAACTGCAGTAATAACCCATTGTCTTTGTTTTAAAGGACAGTGGAAAGAAATGCTACGATGATGTGGAGTTCAGTCACTCCACTCCGGTCTTTGCCTTCATCACTGTTGTGGATGTCCCGGACCTGGATCCACGGTTTATTGGCATTCCCTACTCAGCATTAGTGGAGGAAAACACAGCAACAGTGTGTTTCATGCTATTATGCTCTTTTGATTTTAGAGATACAAATTAATAATCCCAAATTAATTCGTTATTAATTACGTCATTTAGGGCCATACTGTGTTAACTGTCACCGCTGTTGACCAGGACACAGGGATCAATGATGACATCATTTACAGCATACAAGGTGCAGGGGTTTCCTCCTCAAAACAACAGACATTTTGCGTTTCTTTACTAATAACTCACTTTCTTCAATTACAGTTTCTCCTGGAGCCGAGCTGTTCACAATTAACGAGAAAGGAGTTATTACTGTAAACGGAAACATTGACAGGGAGACAATTGGGGACAATGTGCAACTGATTGTCAAGGTTAAGCATTATATTTTATTATTGTTTCTATTGTTTTGTAAAAATAAAAATATATACATATATGTATATGTGTAGATATATACATATATATCTAACATTTAAGTTAACATTTAAGTTGCATTTCAATATCTATCTCAAATTCTTTTGACTAGGAGAGATTGATAACTCATAGATTGAATATTACACTCTCTTAAGATTAAAAAAAAAGATAATCAACAATATTCTGTAGGCAACAGAAAGAGGAGAAAACATCAATGGAGTCCATGCCAGTGCCGCGACCGCAGTCAGCATCAGCATCACTGACGTCAACGACAACAGTCCTGTGTTCTACAAGTGCGAGGAGGACGAGTGCACCACGGCCAACAGCTTCTCTGGGCAGGTGCCGGAGCATTCCTTAGGAGCTGTTGCCATCCACATGACTGTGAAGGATGCAGATAAGGTGAGTCTCTTTTGTTACAATAAAGTCATGATACAATATACAGTGGGGGCGACAGTAGCTCAGTTGGTAGAGCACTGGCCTTTGAGCCTGAAGGTCGGGGGTTCAAGCCCACCACGGGACCTTCTCCACCGACTCCCACTGATGACTGCTGTCGTTGTGTCCTTGGGCAAGACACTTAACCCTGCATTGCCTGAAGCCCCCACTGAAAAATCAAGGCCGTATTGTCACTGACAGAGCAGCCGTCCTCCTGCGGACTCACCACCTGCAGAGGGTCAGTGAGGGGCTGGTGCTAAGTGAATTGGGTGCAGCTCTGACTGCCACCCCCCCGACCCAGAAATGGATTAAGGGGAAGAAGATGGATGGATGGATGGACAATATACAGTACAGTGAAAACTGGACGTTTTCATGCACATTGTAGAACGTAGTAATAACATAATTCTGGTAAAATAACGGACACAAAACATAATGCAAATGTGTTTTACATATATAAACTTATTTTAAAACTGTAAATATAAAATGTTATTATTACTTCCATATAATTACATCCTCTACAAACTCTAACTAATTCTATCACTTTTCAATACAATACTAAAATTATCTGTTGTTCAGATCATAAATATACCAGAACTTTAATCTCAACTCAAAATGTCATTGTATTTATTGCATCGATGGTAAGCTTTAGGCCTTTGCCAAATTGTTTTTAAATTGCATTCTTCCATAAAGCTATGCTATTTCTCCTCCACACATCTCTAATAAATTCATTTCCATCTTATAACTCATTCTCTCCATTGATCTGGATCACTGCCAATGTACTGTATTTTTTTATTGTTTTGGATCATGTACAATGTTTGAGGAGCACTCTTGTCTGTGGTGTTTCATTTGTTTGGATATCATATCCTAAGGTTGGTTTTTATTGGTCTGGGGAGGTGTGTGATATCATGTGCATGTGTAGTATGTATGGAAATGATTAATCATGTTATTCATTATAACATAATTGTTGTTCTTTTGCAGAATTCCCAAACTGAACTCCACCTGGAGGGGCCCCATAAAGATGTGTTTTCAGTGGAGCCTCCTGTGGTCTTTTCCGAGAGCATCGTGCAGCTGCTTGTCAAAAGCCCAAAAGACCTGGACTATGAATTAACCCAAGAAATGTCTTTAACGGTACCCACAAGATACACTGAGCTATTTGGTTGTATAAGTCCTCTTTATTTACGGGGTGCATTTTGCAGATCGAGAATGCACTGAAGGGTTATTTAAAATGTATTTGAGTATACATTCTAAAATGAGGCATCTTTGACTTTTTTCATCTTTCATGGTTTACACTGGACATATATTCCGTTAGATGTATTCAGAGGCCTGTTGTAGTAGTCGACTAAATCTATACAAGTTTTAGTCAGCCAGAAAATAAACGTGTATCCTATGTATTTAGGTCACTGAGTTTGTTTATGGTCTAAATTGGGGTCTAAAATTTGTTCTCCAGAAATTTTATGTTTTTAATGAGCAACCCCCCTTAAATTCTATTTACCTTTAGTCATAGTTTTGGTTTTGATGTTTAAATGTGTTTCAGGTGATAGCTGTGGATCGTGGAGACTCTTCCCGTCGCACCACTGCGGAAGTGACCATCACCATCCTGGACATCAACGACCACAGCCCCACCTTCACCCCAGACCTGTACAGCGCCCATGTACCCGAACATTGCTCTGATGGGACCCCAGTGATCAACATTACTGTGAGTGGATGGTTTCTGCTGGAATACCTAAAGCTATTTACACTTAGATTTGAAATATTCTTGGGTTTCATGAACCTGGCCTGTAGGGGGCGAATGAGCAGAGATTGGACAACTCAGTTTTGCTCCCATTGAAAAGCCTGTAAATCTTGTCTGTTTTGGAGGCTCTCATCCTGTGCGGTGTACGGTTGTTGTAACAGTCTTAATCGGGAGGTGGACACTCAATTCTAAGGGAGTACTAAAAAACATTTCTCAAAAGAGTCTTGATTTCAGGCATTTTTGGAAAAAAATAACGGAAGAAATTGGTGCGTTTCATTTGAGTGACCTGCAGGGGGCGCTTATCTGGGAAAGCCTGCTCATCACCGGTCCACAACATAGCCAATGGAAGAAAGCGAGTATTACAAAGAGCTGACCCGGCTCGCACAAACTCGATATTGTGAAAAAATCAACTCGCACACGGGATATGACCCGTATAGTTTGGCAAAGTCTGAGTTCGAATACATTCGAGTGATTTTTTTCAAAATGTACTCCTTTATATGAAACCACAGTTGGAACACGGTAGAAACTCTTGTCTTTCTCTCCATTTGCGCGGTTGCTGCAACTGTACACCGCACAAAAATTTGGCATCTTGACTGAAGACTGCTAGCTAAGATATTAGCGCTTCTTCTTCTTCTATAGCTCCGTGTAGACTGCACTGCCATGGTACGTCACGTCCGGTCCTGTCATTTGCGCCACTGCCCCGACGTCATATGAAACCCAAGAAACAAAATAAAACAGGAAAATTTGCAGCAGTTTTGCAACTTTTCTCAAATAAATGTAGTGTAGAGGCATCATCTGTTCCATTTTGTTTTCATACGAAGTTCCCAACAGAGTCTTTGTGAATGAACCACACAACATTCATCTTATTAGAGAACATGTTTTCTTGTGCATGATTGTAGAACCCTGTGAGTTACTATTTGAGTTTTGGCCGAGTAAGGGTGGTCCTCTCTTTTTTACTTTTCTGTCTGAAAATGCTGATGTGACAGACAGTAAAATCAACTGGTTGAGTTGGTTACATGGATTGCATTACTTAGTTCTTGTTGAATGCCATAACATCAAGGCTGAAAAACTCAATCAATAGTTTAAGCTACAGTTTGTTATGCATTTGGTGTTTTGCAAACTTGTTGAACTGAGTAACTATTACCTGTGTTGTGATTTGTAGTACCAAAGCGTAATTGGCTCTGTCTTCAATGGTTCAAATAAGTTCTAATTTGATAAAAAACAGCAGCTAGTTTTCCCTTTTTTTGCTTTCAACTTTCAGGAGGGACACACAGAATTGCCAATTATTACAATTAAGAAAACAAGATGGGTACCCTGATATTGATTTTACTTATTAACTTTCCTAAGAATATGTGTAAACACCAATTTATGACATTAAGGCAGAATAAGTACTAATAGCTCAAACTATTATTGAGTATTAATAGTTTGAGCTACAGTTCATTTCATTTCATTTCATTCATTTATTTATTTATTTAATATGGACATAGCAATTAACATTGGACGAACCAGATGCATTGTTTAAAGTGTTATAGTACAAGTGCTAATTTTCAACACCTGTCCATAGGGGGCTTTTAGGTTACAAAGATAAAACACATTAGGAAACAAGGTTACAATAAAACACATTATTAAACAAGATAAGACATGTTTACACATGGGAACAAGTTTGGCCCGATTTGAGCCACTGTTTAAGCTCTCTGGTAAAGATGTTGATATTATTCTGCAGTTTCAGTGCAGTGGGGAGAGAGTTCCACAGTGTTGCCCCTCTAAAGGAGAAGCTCGACTGTCCAAAAGATTTTCTAAACTTTGGGAGCACACAATCCCCGCTAACTGAGGCTCTGGTGGAAGGTCTGAGAGAGCCCTGACACCTCACCATGAGGCCAGAGAACAGTGGTGACACACAGTTGTTCAGACATTTAAAAGTCAATTTCATTATACTAAAATTTACAAAGTTTTCAAAAGTAAAAAGCTTGTGCTTTTGTATGATATCACAATGATGCCATCTCAAAGGTTTCTTGTCGAATATCTTAATTGCCTGTTTATACAGAGAGGTGACTGGTTTCAGAGTGGATGCCGATGTTTGTGACCATGCTGTAATGCAGTATGACAGATGTGAAAAAACCATTGCATGCATATACAATAAAGCCGCGTGATGTGATAACTCTCTTCTTATAAAACGAAAACAGTTCAGATTTGATTTGACTTTCCTGCAGACGTTATTTGCTTGACTTTGGAACTTCAGGTGTTTATCTAAGATAATGCCCAAGTATTTTGTTTCATGAACCTCCTGAATGGGTTTATGTTCTAATTGAACCTCAAAGGTGCTGTCAGGGGACCTCCGGCTGATAGAGAAACATATTGAGAATGTTTTCTTTACATTTAAAGTTAAATGGGACAGTTGAAGCCATCTTGAGATGTTATGTGAAGCCTGTGTTGACAGCTGCCCAGCCAGTGCAGATGTTTTTGCTGACACATGAATAAAGCTGGCAGTTTACACCCTGACAGCAATCTGGGAGATCATTTATATACATTGAAAACAGCAACGGTCCTAGGACTGACCCTTGAGGCACTCCTAAGTCATTTGGACTCAGGGTGGATTTAACGCTTCCTACTTTCACACATTGTTCTCTACCCTCCAGGTAGGACTCAAACCATGACAGAGCTGTAGCTGAAAATTGAAATTGCTGTAATTTCTGCAATAAGATGCAATGGTCCACTGTGTCGAAGGCCTTCTTCAGATCTAAAAACACAGCGCCTACGACATTCCCTTTATCCAGTGAACCTTTGATCTGTTCCAACAAAAAGCAGTTGGCTGTTTCTGTGCTGTATTTTTGTCTGAACCCAAACTGCTGGGGATGCAACAGTTGGTTATTTTCAAGATGTTCTATTAATTGCCCAGCTACAATTTTTTCCAGCACTTTGGAAACTACAGGAAGAATGGCGATAGGCCTGTAGTTGCAGGCTTGGTCTTTGTCGCCTGACTTATAAATTGGAGTGATTACAGCAATCTTCCAGCTCTGTGGGAAAGTGTTTGTTTGTATTGACAAGTTTACAAGGTAAGTTATAGGATCAAGTAAGCTGCTTAGATGTTTTTTAATTAGAGCTACATTGAGATTATGTATGTCTCTTGATGTAGAATTTTTCATATTGACTATAATTTTCCTTACTTCATCATGCAAAACTTCTCTGATTTTAAAATGATCTGTACTGCTACGCTGAGCTTTGCTCTCAGAAGGCAATTTGCCCTTGAATGGTTTGGCAAGATCGTGGACTGATTCAACAAAGAATTTGTTGAACTCGTTTGCAATTGACTGATTGTCATTAACATAATTATCATCAATTTTAAGGCAATCTGTCATTTGAAGATTTTTCCGATTAGAATTTGTCAATTTGTTTATATGTTGCCATAGTTTGGAGCTGCTTCCATTTGCTTCTTCTATCATTTTTATAAAATATTTAGTTTTAGCTTTGCGCAGCTCACTTGTGACTTTATTCCTGAGGCCAGTGAAAATGAGATGGTCGGTATTATTCCTAGATTTGAAGAACTTTTTGAGTGCAAGGTCACGATTTTTAGCCATTCGCCAAATGTCACTATTGAACCACGGAAGAGAATACCTTCTTGGTTAACTTGTCCAATTGTGTATGTTTATTTATTACATCATTTAATTTAGTGACAAAATTGGATGCACTCAAATTTAAATCAGACTCAGCAGTAACACTGTTCCAATTATTTTGGTTTAACTCATTTTCAAAATCATTTATTTTTGCTTTGGGAATTCCTGTTGTTTTCATTTTGTTCTCTGCTTTGTTATGATTAATGAGACGCTTTTTAGTTAACTTTCTGACAACTATTGTCATATTATGATCGGTAAGCCCCGTTATCAGGTTATATGTTTTAGTTATTCTTTCTGGTCTATTTACAAAAATCAAGTCAATCGATGTTTTGCTGTGTCTGGTGATTCTAGTAGGTTTGTTTATCATTTGCTTATATTTGAATTCATCCATCAAAGATTTCAGTTTGCAGTGCATTTGGTGTCCTGCAAAGTTAAGTGTTTATTTTTTTTTCACAGGCTCAAGATCCTGATACAATGGACCAGGGCAAGCTCACATACCGACTTCTACCGGAGAATATGTACGTCTACGTGTTTAATAATTCAGAAAATCATGATCATGACACAGCGTATGATTGTGTATACATATTGTAAATGAAATAAACATACTCATTTCTATTTTGATTAACAAAAGTGCATATTATAGTTTAGATTCTATTGAGCCAGGACTCATTTCATTTTTGTACCTATTAGTTTATCCATCCATCCATCCATCCATTTTCTACCCTTTAATCCATTTCTGGGTCAGGGGGGTGGCAATCAGAGATGCCACCCAAGTCTCATAGCACCAGCCCCTCACTGACCCTCTGCAGGTGGTGAGTCCACAGGAGGACGGCTGCTCTCTGAGTGTAAGCATAGCCTTGATCTTTCAGTGGGGGCTTTGGGCAAAGTGGGGTTAAGTGTCTTGCCCAAGGACACAACGACAGCAGTCATCAGTGGGAGTTGGTGGAGAAGGTGTAGAGGTGGGAATTGAACCCATGACCTTCTGGCCTTAAGGCCAATGCTCTACCAACTGAGCTACTGTCGCACCTATTAGTTTATTTACAGCATTTACATATGTACATAATACATTCAATAATGTATACATTACTGGGTGTTTACTTCTCCGAAAGCCTGGAATAGAGTGGGAAGAATTAAACATAAACTCACACCCCTTGTACCAAAATTAATCTTATGCATTTTACACATTTATTTAACCATTATTTAGCCAGGATTAAACTAATTGAGATCAAAGATTTCTTGCAAGAGTGTCCTGAAGACATAGGGACAAAGACAGTCAAAAAAAATGAAGACACATTGAATATGCAGAGTGCAAAATAGTGAACAATCTCAGAAAAACATTGAATATTACATTTAAAAAAATATTATTACATTTAAAAAAATATTATTACTATTTTTTGCAAACCTGAACATATACAGGAATACACATTACTAATTTTTTTTTCGAAAGTCTATATTTGGTTAATTTGCTCATTCGTGCTTCTGACGCCTCTGCCCAATGCTTTTCAGACTGAAGTATTTTGATGTGAACACAACCACTGGCTTAATCTTTGTGAAAAATGGAGAACTCTTGGATCGTGAATCTAGAGCGTTGTATTCAGTGACGCTTCAGGCCCAAGACTCGGAGGGAAAACCGGGAAACGCCGTCATCGACATCAGCGTGACCGACATCAACGACAAAACTCCCGTTCCAAACAGAAACAGTTACCAAGAGTTTGTGTTGGAGGGACAAGATCTGCAAAATGTCAGAGTTGAGGTAAAGTTTATGCGTGGGTTATAATAATTATTTAATAAATTAAAAAAATACTCAGGATGCATCCTTTGTATGATGTACACCTCCACTTCAAAACTCCAGTTTGATTTTAGGGAAGTAAGTAAACTTTATTTAAATAGCGCCCTTCACAGACCAGGGTCACAGAGCGCTTCACATAGTATAAAAACAGACATAGACGGCCATGTAAATAACAGCACAACAAAATTATGCAAAATCCTGAACAAATAGATGTGTTTTAAGTTGACATTTGAAGGACTCAACAGAGTCTATAGAATGCAGAGAGAGCGGGAGAACGTTCCAAAGCTTGGGAAGGACCTGTCTTCTCTGGTCCTGAAACGAGTGCGTGGAACCATCAGGAGGTTCTGATCCACAGACCTCAGAGCCCTGGTTGGGGTGTAAGGCTGGATCAGGTCACTGATGTAAGACGGAGCCTGACCGTGCAAAGCTCTGAAGGTCAAAACCAGAATTTTAAAATGTATCCTGTAGGACATTGGCAGCCAATGAAGAGCTTTAAGGACAGGGGTGATGTGCGTCCTCCTGTTTGTGCGGGTCAGGATTATGGCGGCAGAGTTTTGCACTAACTGCAGGAGAGACAGCTCCTTCTTGTTTAAAAATGAAAACAAACTGTTACAATAGTCTAAACACGAAGACACATATGCATGAATAATCACCTCCAAATCATTCTATGAAACAATTTTCCTGACTTTGGACTGTAGAGAAAGACTCAAGCCACATTTCTAAAGCTTTGTTTTTTGGACTGAAAATAATCATAGAAATGTGTTAACACATAACTGGTTTCACTTTTATTCATTGTTTTCAAAACCTAGGAGGCAATGGGCATGTTACGGCTTTCAGATAGAACCCCAATGCAGGGGCAGGACGCTGAAGAAGTTTAGCAAGTCTATTTACAACAGTTGGTATCAGCATGTGCATAGATCCATTTGCTCTGATTAATTTATATTTATAATTTTGTTTATTCAAGTGGCTTGGGCCAAAGCACTTTCCTATTAAGCTTCTTAGCGCTAGCTATAGCTATTATAGCCTATAGAGCTAGTCTGCTAGAATTGTCTATTCTTTTATACAGTTCAAGCCATTTGCCCAATTTTTTCCACTTTATACAAGGGATTCTCAAGCTGTTCTCAGGCATTTGAGAGACGTGGTTCCCCGTCTGGGTGGGACATACCGGGAAGACCAATTTAAGTAACTGACATTTTTTCTTTACAGGCCACAGATGGAGATGAGCCAGACACTCCAAACAGCCAGCTGCTGTTTAGCATTGTGCCTGGCCCCTTCAGTGAGAACTTCACTATTGACCCTGACAGTGGTGTCTTAACCAACAAAGGGCCACTGGATCGAGAGGCCATTAACCCAACGCTGAATGGAAAGATCGAGCTGAAAGTGAACATATCGGACAGGGGCCTGCCTCCTCTGTCCACTCTGGTCCAAGTCATCATTAATGTGCAGGTGCCACAGTTATTTTAAATGGGGTGTATTTATCAAGGGTCTCTGCATGCAATATGAGAAGAGTCCCTTAACATTGTACTGTTTTATGATGCACGACATGTAGAGATGGAAATAGCATTTGAAATAGAATGAGACAATGGATATCTGTCATACACACACACACACACGCACACACTCACACACACATGCACAATACACACACACACAAACACACGCCCAAACGCATGTACACGCACATTGCAAACACAAAAAAACACACACTAACCACCTGCCCAACAGCACACGCACACACGCATGGACACACACACAGCCCCTAGACTGGCAACTATACCACAATGTTTTCTATTAAAATGTGAACTCAACTGAGACCTTTGTTTTTTAGGATGTCAACGATAACAAACCAATTTTTGGGAAGTCGTCCTACAGTTTCAGCGTAAAGGAAGGCCAAAAAGGTCTGTATCAAAACGTTTCTAATCTCTCTATGATGTAGGTACAACTGTTGGCTTGTGAATTTCTTCAGGTTGCCTTTAAAAGTGACTTATTTGTAGGAAAAGAATAATAGTTTACAGCGTATGAGTGAAAGTGTGATGTCCAAATTTGAAATTAGATTAGCTGTCCAGGATCTGGGGTATTCTACTCTAACACTACTATTCAACAAGAATAATGCATGTATAAATAGCTGGCCTAACAGGAGACAAGGAACCACATAGCCTCCTTGCCTCCTTCCATCCTCAATTCCATCCTCAAGTTCTACCCACAGAGGAGACACAGCTCAAGAACTGTAGAATTAAGGAAAAATATGAGGAATGATGATTGGGACCAGACCAGGATATGATGGCCAGTAAAACAAAGGCCAAATGAAGGGAGAGGGTAATCTGTCCTCTACGGTTTTCTGAATATACACAAAATAAACTTACAAATGGTAGCTTCAGGCTTCAGAGAGGGGTTTCTTGTTGAATCAAACTTTCTTTTGTGTCTCCTAGGTGCATTTGTTGGCTCTGTTGATGCAAAAGACAACGACCAAACAACAGAATTTAACCGTATCTCCTTCAGCATTATTAACGGCGCCTTTGGCAGTTTCACGGCCCGCAGTGCTCTGGATGCTCCCAGCTACATCGGTAACATCAACGTAGACCCAGACATCGAGTTGGACTTTGAAAGTACCCAAAAGACCTTCAAGCTCGAAATGGAGGCAGCAGATTTTGCGCAAGAGAAAGCCAACATTTTTGTGACCGTACACGTGCTTGACATAAATGACGAGAGGCCTGTGTTTAAACCATCGGCTCCAGTCAGTGTCGAGGAGAATAGCAAAGAAACTGCGCCGATTGCGAGGTTTACCGCTGTGGATTTGGACGGCAATCACTCCCTGGTTTATGAGCTGCTTTCAGTTAAATGTAGATGCGATGGAGAAGAAATGCCGTGTGACTGGTTTGATGTGGAGAAAAGTGGGTCCGTCATAGTCAACCCAAACGCCACTATTGACTACGAGTTGTGTGACCAGGCCACAGTGGAAGCTGGAGTAACGGATGAATACACAGAAAAAGGAGAAGCCGACAGCGAGGAACCAGGTCAGCATACACAACCTAAGGCTACTGTTTAAAGCCGGCGTCCTGTTGATGATGTATTGTCTCTATTTTAGGGAAGATGGTGATTAACATTCTGGATATGAACGACAACGCTCCAGAGTTTGTGGCCTCAAATTCATTATTTGGTGAGATGCATTCACTTTTTTAACAGATTGTCAATTCATTGATTATTCTAAGCTTTTTTTTTCTTTCCATATTTTAGTTTTGGTGTCTGAAAGTGCAAGCATGGGTACCTCAGTTGCTGCAGTCAGTGTATGCACTCTACATTATCTATTGCAACTATATGTTTAATTTAGTGTCTCCACTTCAAAAAGGGAGTAATCATGAAATTCTTTTATTTTTTACCTTACATAGTCATACACATATTGAGAAGAGGTTTTAGGACTCAGATAATGACTTCATGATTAAATGTGTTTATAAAGTATTTTTAATCAAACAACCCAATGTGTAAAAAGTCACCTCTATTAAGATGTTTTTCAAGGGGCATCACTTGAGCTTTGTTTTGGTCAATTGTATAAACACATCCTTAGTGATCTGATGAATCAAAAGAATAATCATCCAACTAAATAATCATTGATTAAATGACTATTTATATTAAAAGTAATAGTAGTGATATTATTAGTTATATTAGTATTGTTCTTATCTATTACAGGCTACAGACAAAGACTCTGGAAAAAATGGCCAGATTGAGTTCAAAGTTTCAAAAGTGGAATACAAAAACTTGAATGGTGACATTTCTAAAAAAGACAACCTGTTTGAGGCCACCACAACGCTACAGAATGAGATTTACGTTGGAATTATTCAGTGAGTTTTTTTATTGTGGTAATACATTATACTGTTCTGATAAAATGTACTCCACAGATCCACTGAAGAACAGGATACAACAATACAGGGTAGCTATTTGGTAACAGTCGAAGCCAAAGATACTGGGGGTCTCACCAACACCACTGTTCTCGAAGTGAGTATATTAATTTGAATTATTAGATAGTTAAAATTAGTAAACTTGATAACTAACATTATCCTTGTTTCAATAAGTATCTAATGAATAAAACATGTACAACACTGCATTAAATGCAAGTAAAAGTGAAAAAGTTCATGTGAAGCCAGTATATGGTATAGACTTATTACCTTATGCCAAGCCTGTGATAGTTATTTTTTGATGATTATTGCTTACAGTCCATGTTTGAAATGTCTAATTATGACCATAATATTCTTAACTTCCATCTTCATGTCATTAACCTATATTTATCTTGTAATACCTGGAAGATATTTATCATTGATCGAAGCTTCAAGTTTGATCTATATTTTGACGCTTCGGTTCCAACTATTAATGCGCAGAAATCAGAAATTGTAAGGTACGTAACCACTGCACAATAGTAACAAAAACGGTTTCAGAATCATTTCTGAATGGAAAAAAACCCCTCTCATTCATAGAGATCTCACGGCCATTGTTCAAGCAGCGGTGCATGTGGTTACTGTCAAAGAAGACTCTTCTTCAGAAAGGTAAGTTATGGAGTTTTACCTCCAGCTTTGTAGTGTGCGACTGTTCTCGTATCGTGTTACTGCGAATCAAAGTAATTTTGTAATAAAAGATCATCTAGAAAGTAAAGACCACGATACAAAAAAACTGAAATTGAGTAAACACAATGAACAATTGAACAGAGGGAACAACGCAATGGATACTGCTGTTGGGGGTGATTGCAAGTGTTTTATGGTCTGCACAGACACCATAGGAAACACTTTGCTGTAGTTGATATTCAGCACAGTGAGCACATATACAACAACAAGTAACACGTTACCATATTTAAATTACATTTACAATGTTCTAACAACACATTAAAACAAACTCATAATGCCGTTAACTTTCTATTACATTGTCTTGTGATTGTGTAGTAGTTTTTTTGTGAATAAGCATGAATAAAATGTCTGTTTTTCATTTCTTTTCAAATTGCTTGAATTGCGTGCAACACACTTAAACTGACAGTAAAACAAACACATATAGACAAAACTTCTTCTTTACAGTGCAGTGGTTGAAAACATACGTCACCATTTCAACCACTAGAGGTCACTCTTATGGCAAATGCCCAAGGATGGGAGGTTTTAATGATAATTTGAACAAAAGAATAATATTTATTCTCAAAGAAAATTGTGTCTTATAATTCAATGAATGAATTGACACTAGGTGGCGCCAGGACTCCCTCTTATATACTCTTTGAAAATTATGTAACAAATGAAATGTTGCAGCTGTGACTCAGCCAAGGCCTGTTACTTCTCTGTAGGGCTCAAAGTACTGCAATCATGGAGGCCTACGCCATATATGCAAACGGGACCGCTGTTATGACAAACAATGTGCATACATTATTGTCAAGACCGGAAAACTTTGTAATAATGAAAAAGCATGGACTCCGCTATGTTGTGAGTACAAACCACACTAAACATTCTTCACACATTGTAATTGTACTTTTAGTAGCTGCATAATGACATACATACATGTATGTATGTACTATCATATAGATGTACAGTATGTATATGTATGTATGTGTACCATCATACAGATTTATGCACTATCATACAGATGTATGTGTATGTATGTACTAGCCTACAGATCATATTGATGTGTATGTGTCTGTATGTACTGTACGTATGTACTGTCATCGATACATACAGATAGCATCTATCTTATGTTTTGAAACCTCACAATGTGGTAATTATATGTATCATCACTATTTCCTGTGAAACACATTAAAATAATCTATGTTAGGTTTACTTTGCAATTGGAGCCATTTAAGATTGCGTGCTAAATCCTGTATTATTGACACACTTCTCAGGGCACTGCGGAGCCTGTGGAGCAGAAGCAGGACCCACTGATGTTTGCCCTGTATGGAATGGTTGGAGGCCTCATCATTGTGACCGCCGTTCTCACCCTGTCTTTTGTGTGCACGCGCAGAAAGTAAGACAAACAGATGGAAAATCCTTTGATTTCATTCTTACTATGGACTATTTCATACATTTAGACTCCAACTTAGACAAACTTTATTGGTCTTCAAGAGACATTATTTGGACAGAGTAGCTCAAAAAGTTCAAATTAAAGAAGCTATACCCGATTTTTTTTCTAAGTAGTTCATAAAAATGCTTATTACAACATACAAGTTGTATTATATTCCATAATTTAATTGAAAACTTGAGATCATTGATTCAGCGGTGTATGAGTTACGGCAGTGAAAAGTGCTGAACAGAGTCTAGCGGGACGCTCGTTCTCCTCCACTCACAGAACGAGCCTCTACAGCGCTGCTCAACACCAGGGCTTCGGCCTCGAAATTCAAATATAATTCTAAAATTTAAAAAATGTATATATTCGAACAAATATTAGACAGCCCTTATAATTCGAAATGTATTTAATGACTGCAAATAAAATAGTTAGCTCCCGAAGGTTTCACCGTGACGTGCTAGGCAGGTAACAGTTAAGCTAGCTAGTTCAAAAACTCTCTGGAACTACATGAAAACTGAACAAAGAATTCTGAACATCAGCGGTGAGTGACCCATTTATATACCGAACCATAATCAGATCCTCTTCAAATGTGTCCTAAAATGTTTGTTTCATGTTAATGGTTACTTCCGGGTTTTTCACGATCGCTTTTTGTCACATTCAAATAGTAATTTTGTCATGAAAACGTTAACAACAAATTCTGAAAACGTCTGTGCATGTGTGTTAAGGATGTATACAGTATGTATAATGTATTCTGCGAGTAACATTTAATGTTATTGATTGATTGATATGTATTTGTTTATTGAGCGTGGCTAACTCGGCTAGCTCCGCTAGCCATTTCTTCAGTGATTGTTGTACAGCTTACAAGAAGTTGCGCTAATGCTAATATTTGCATATGTATCAGATCGCAAATTGAGCTAGATGGCTCTGTGTTATGAGAGCGTAGGGGAAATGAGAAGCCATCGAGCGAGTTGGGGGCGGTGCTAAACATTAAAACCTTGCAGAAACGGGTATAGCGCCTTTAAGATGGCAAAAAAGTTCAAAGTGCTAAAAGTGAAATAGATACCATCCATTCCATCCATCCATCCATTTTCTACCCTTTAATCCATTTCTGGGTCAGGGGGGTGGCAGTCAGAGATGCCACCCAAGTCTCATAGCACCAGCCCCTCACTGACCCTCTGCAGGTGGTGAGTCCACAGGAGGACGGCTGCTCTCTGACTGTGAGCATAGCCTTGATCTTTCAGTGGGGGCTTTGGGCAAAGTGGGGTTAAGTGTCTTGCCCAAGGACACAACGACAGCAGTGTCCTGTCTGTATGTCATGTATGTATGTCATTTACATTATTTTTAAATGACATACACATAACAATAGTGAAATTAAAGTGTTTTAGAAGTAGGTCCAACATCATATTTACACTCAAATAAGTTTTCCTGTAAAATAACAGTAAAGAGCAGGCAGCTGGGTTGCCAGATCTTTACTGTTATTTTTACGGTATTTTAACGTACAGTGACTTTACAGTAGTAGTCCGTAAAAAAGGAAAACAGTATTATCCTGTATTACTACAATTTACAGTAAAGAGCAGGCAGCAGGGTTGCCAGCAGTATACCGTTATTTTACGGTATTCATAGGTAAAATGACTCAATTTTACCTATGAATAGCTGAAGGGACCAAAGACAGACAATTAATACATTAAAATTATTTATTTATTTGTAGAGGTGCAACGGTTCATCACTGATCCGTGATCCGTTCGGTTCAACGTCTTCGGTTCGGTACAGACGTGATCCGCGGTTTGATTTATGAAAAAAAAGTTGTGCGCACGTTGTTCAGTCCACACACAGCGCGGTCATTGCGAGCGGAGGAACGGAGGAGCTTGAAAGCCCCGCGTCATTTAAATCCCCAGTATGAGAGCATTTTGGCTTCACTGTAACTACACTGATGATTCATATTCGACAAAACTGTCACAGTGTGTAAGCACTGTGGCACAAGAAAGACATGAGTGAAAAAAGCGTCTCAACGACCGCTTATTGTCGCGGCATTTAAGCAGCTCCTTTACGCACAGTCAGACCGGGCTAAAGTCAACTCTCCCGCGCATCCTCAGCTGCGTTCACGACTGACGTTTGGACGTCCCGCGGAACCTATAATAGATCCATGAGCGGAACCGCTCACTTCATCACCGCAGACTGGGAGATGAAAAGTCTGGCGCTGAAGACACGCCCCCTCTACGACAGTCACACAGTCACACAGCGAAGGTACTGACACAAGCAGCGGAGGAATGGAAGACAAAGGCCCAGTACTAATATTCCAGTCACAACTGATAATGCCAAAAATTAAATAAATGCAGTGAATGAGGCTGGGCCCAGAATGGACCCCCTCCTTGGGAGAATCAGGAAGGTGGTGTAATATATGAGGGTAAATATCCTCATAAAGTGCCTTCTTATGTTGCACTTTGTGTTGTTTTTCATTAATTATGTTAAATAGACATAATTGGATGGATGGAATATGCCTTCCATCCACCCATCCATCCATTTCCTTCACCTTAATTCATTTCTAGGTCAGGGGGGCAGTCAGAGCAGGTGCCGAGTCCACATGAGCTGGGTTTATTCAAAAAGAAAAATGAACCGAAAAATGAACCGAACCGTGGCCTCTGAACCGAGGTACGAACCGAACCGTGATTTTTTCAAACCGTTGCACCCCTATTTATTTGGCGCATTGACCCCGGCAGTGACACTTGCAGCGAGAAGTTCAATTGCTGCTGAAGATGATCTCAGATCCCCCGGGGTCAAGCACTGGTGGTGGCTAAAAGCATGGTGTGAATGGGGCGCAGGTGGAGCAGGAGCCAGAGCAGGAGCCAGAGCAGGAGCCAGAGCAGGAGCCAGAGCAGGAGTCTAGTGCGAGAGCCAGAGCTGGAGGAGGCGCTGGGGAGGTGGTGGGTGTTAAGAGCTTCAGAAAGCGCTGCTTGTCAGGAAGTGGCTGCCTTTTAAACTGCCCGCTTTGCTGTGAGGTTGGCAGGAGACTGGCAGAGCTGTGTGATTGGTTGGCTTGGATGGGGTTGCACCCAGTCTTTCAGTCTGAATTTGCGCTTAAGCTTCATTTCTGTAAATCACAGATCGAGATTACAGTATTATGTAAATCACAGTTTAATACAGTAGAAGAAATGATACATAATAATATAAATAATATATTTGGATAGTATACAAAAATTCAATGTAGGCTGTTATTATCTTCTAATAGTTTACTGTAGACCAACTTCAACTCATCAAAGCAATAGAAAATAACTTATGATATTCATTTTTGTGACTTTTATGCATTACAAAAATATGAATCAAAAATAAACTTTTATTTCAGAGTAAATAAACAGAAAGTAAATCTTGTTTTTAATTTAATTTTTGTTTTTTTTATAAAATGGCAGGGGTTGAAAAATCAATACCTGCTGTGTCTCAAACAACACAACCTATTCAACATGTGCAATAACACCACTTTGAAACTATGAGAGTAGAGAATGCAACAATAAAAACATGTATAGATAAAACCAAGCTGTGCCACTGCAGGATAAACTTGCAATTCTTATAACTTACCTCTTATAATGTCCTGTCTTATACTTTCACATCTTCTTGTTAATTCACTTTTGAGGTCGCTGTTCCTCACTGCAGAATCATTCCAGTTTGTCCTCTGTCAAAAACAACAATTGTAATCATTACAATGTCAATTCATGCTTATTCTCACTAAACACTCCAAAGGAATGGTTTTACATCAGACTGGAGTTACAACAAAATCCTTTTCAGATATTCAATTAAATGCAATGTTTGTTTATTTGTTTTGTTTTTTCCACTGCTCAAATAGATTGAATGACAAATAGAAGCTGCATCAAATACATAACACAATCTACAACCTACTTGTACAATGTCACTACCATTTCATGCAAAACATGAAAACATTGATTTAATTGTATATTAAAAGAAGGTGTTTTACCTCTGAGTGACTTCCAGGGAGCAGCCTCCTCCTGATACTGCAGGTTGAATATGTCGTAGATTGTAAACACTGCAGCAAGTCCAATTGCAAATGTTGATGAGATGCCCTCACAGACTCACAGGACACCAGAGTGATCATCCAACCTCTCATTGTAACTTGCCCTGTTGCCCCTGAAACTTAAAGTCAGAGCAACAATGGAATACATGTTACCTGACATTGAATGGCTACGATAAATTATCTGATTAATCCAAATTATATATATTCCTGGCAGTAATAGATGAGAGAGTTGTCTCAAAGTCAAATGCAGTGGCAGAAACCTGTAGAGTACAATACATTACATGTTTAGCACTTTTAACAAAACAAAAATATTAAAAGGTCAAACTTATTCAAAAGATTAAAACTGCTTAACCGATTGGGCATGCAACATTTAAAGCAAACAGTATTTTTACAGGTCTTGGAGTTTTTCTGCAAGTTTCTAAGAAGTAGGTTACACTTTAGTACACTTCATCTGTTTTATCAAACTGTTTTATTGGTTGGTTGTATTCATGTTCTTAAAGTTTTTTTCATTAACAAGAGCTGTTCCATGCATAGGCTAATGTTAGAGAATTAAACAAAAAATAGTCTTTGAATCCATTCCTAATTCAAATATAATCCTCACTGATACGACATACTTCAATCACTAGAAAACAATCTTCTGACCAACAGCTGAACATCAAACATAATATGAAAAAGTGTTTAATTACCGTTTAATTTGTAGATGCAAGATGTTCACTTTGGTGTTGAAGAACAAACGATGATGTATTGCACTGTAGCACATGTCGTCTAAAGTCACCCTGGCAGTTCTGAGGTCCACATGATGGTTCTGAAGTCCACATGATGGTTCTGAGGTCCACATGATGGTTCTGATGTCCACATGATGGTTCTGAGGTCCACATGATGGTTCTGAGGTCCACATGATGGTTCTGAGGTCCACATGATGGTTCTGATGTCCACATGATGGTTCTGAGGTCCACATGATGGTTCTGATGTCCACATGATGGTTCTGACGTCCACATGATGGTTCTGACGTCCACATGATGGTTCTGACGTTCACATGATGGTTCTGACGTCCACATGATGGTTCTGAGGTCCACATGATGGTTCTGAGGTCCACATGATGGTTCTGATGTTGATGGCAGATTAGTTCTGTATTGTATCTATATTTGTGACCAAAATCATTAGGCTAGCCTGAGCTAGCAATGCTCCAAAATTCCCAGGTGTGCATTTTTTTCTAATATACTGTAGTGTCCTGTAATTTAAACATCATTGTACTGTTAAGGGCATCTGTCCTGTTGCTTCTAGTTAAGCAACCCATAATGTATTGCAAACTACAGTACTAACCTGTTAAACATGAAAACGGTACTTTAGTGTTAAAAATTGGCCGTAAACTTACAGCAATTTCTTACAGTATAGCTTAAAAAATGGTAATATTTCCTTGTATCCATTTGTTTTTGTTTTTTCAACCACAGCTACAGGAGGAAACTCAGAGCAGCTAATGCAATGAAGTCTGCATCAGCGGTGTCTGAAAACCAAAGGGGTCCAGTCGTACCAGGCACCAACCAGTACACCATGGAGGGGTGAGGCTCTCGTTCTGTAGTAGCAGCTTTTTGCATTGTGCCCTTGTGAGTCTGGGTGTTTGGTCCTCAAACATGGTTCAAAAGTAAACTGTTCAAAAGCCAATTTGTTTCTATAATTCAACTTACAATGTAAAAATCATTACATGCAGACTCATTACACTGAAAGTGAGATATATGGAACCATATTATTTCGAAAAGCTATAATCATCAAAAACGCAAAAAACAAAGGCTTGACATATATATTTGAATATGTAATGAGTCAATATCACTTTTTTCAGTAAAGTTTGAAATGACTACTTGATAAAGGACTGTCTTATGTTGAGTTTCAAAGATACATTTCAGTTGGAGGGCAGGTGCCAATACAACAGCATTTTGTACTGGAAAATATATATTCATCTTATGTCTGAAAGTCCATTCTACTGACCAACATCATGCATATGTTTTTGACTACTGTCACCATTTCTAGACACCTGAGACAATAATTAGATCATAGTTGACGTGTTCTCACAAAGAAGATGTCAAACTTTGTATTAGTTGTTGTTTTGTATGGATTGGCCGAGGAATCATTTGAAAATATAGGACTGGAAATTGGACTTTTGCCTTTTACTTAGAAGTTACCAGGAAAGCCTCCCACCACAATTCTAAACTGAAAGCTCTTTGGACTTTTGTGATGTCAAATGAACAAAACCTTTCCCCTTAGCCTGATGGTAGCTGTATAAACCTGCCTGTAGTGGTCAGGGAGACTGATCTAAATGTGTTTTTGTCCTCAGAGCAAACCCTGTGCTCAACCTGAACATTGACTCCTCCATTGCACTGGACCTGAATGAAGACAGTGATGTAGACAAACTCAGGTAAATCTGATTGGATCATTTTTTGGTCACGTGAATTGTCGCCATGGTTTCATGGAGGATCAATTGGCTCCGCTCGGCCGCTATGTCACAGAAAGTCCGAGATCCCGAGTCACAGACAGCCTCCTCGTTATCTGAACGAATAATGCTGCACACAGCTCCACACCATCCTTGTGTAAAAAGTGGAATATTGTTTTTCGATTTCCCTGCATGGAATGGTTGGAAGGCTCGTCATTATGACCATTGTTGTCACCCTGTCTTTTGTGTGCACACCTTTTATTGCATTGTTCATGAAAGATGATTACAGCATTTCTTATTGCCAAGTGAAACGTTGTGTTTTGATGACTATGAATGACACAGTGTACAGTATGTACCATAAGATGCACAACAAGACAACTAAAAACAAATACTGAAAATGCAACACAAATCCTCTTAATACCATTTACTTATTGTTTTCTCAGCCTCAATTCCCTGGACAACAGCAATGATTCAGCTGTGTATGAGAAAGACACCAAGCCCATTATGGTAAGTATACAGTTTCTTTTGAATGTCTTATGTAGTCTAACAATGCATATATTCTTTCATTAGAAGAAGATCCAGGAGGAGGATGAGGAACAGGGACCACCCATGTACATAGAGCCCTTGGGTGCAGCTTTAGCACAGCGGGGCCAGAAGATTAGCAACAATCCTCTTCTGGGCGATGATAATCCCATATTTGACACCACAGACCTGTGATAAGGACATTAGAATGGGTTCTCATCTAAACACAATAGCCAATGCTTTTCATAACTGCTTCATGTTTGATCTGTTTCATTAAAAAGTCTTCAAAAGGCAAATAATCCAAAGATGAAATGACTCGGAATGGATGTATGGGTTACATTTTATTAATCTATCGCCACATAAATATCGGCCACAATAAAACATATTATGATGGGATTTTTTGCGTTTGTTTATATAATAATTCATAATTTCATGGAAAATGTGTGCATAATGATTACATAAGATGGACTTCACACGTGCTTTTACTTAAAACAGAAAATATTTTTGCACTAGTAACTATTTTAACTGCAGAAGATGTAAATGTGTTGCAATGTCCTAATGTATAGATAAACAGCTGTCTCTTTCAGCTCGTGTAAACTAAGTGTACTCATCAGTGCAGTGTCTTGTACATTGCGGTTGTTGATTTAACGCAAAAAATTCCAATATTATGGTTGAATACCTTCTGCACAGTAAAAAAAAAATGCACTAACAGTGGATGTAGCAAGTGTGATTAACAAATACAACTATAAAACACAAATGGATTCACTTTAAAAAGCCTCTAATATCACAACATCGCCAAAACGAGCATAGAACTTTAAAAACAGTTCTATCAAGAGTTTTAATTACAATAAGCAGAAGTGGCACCACACGTATGTCTTCATTGTGTTATTTTTCACAAAACACAAAAGCAGAGGTGAAAGTCTGGAGGGGTGGTTTAAAAGAACACGTTTCCACACAGATAAAGAAAAGAAGAGCTTGTTTATGTGTCAGCTGTATTTCCTTCAGGTCAGGTTCTTCAGGGAAAAAGAGGAAAGCTGGTTGCCATGGCTTCACGTTTCTGTGGTGCAATAGAAAAAAAAACAGCTGAAGTGACTGAGGACATTTGAATGGCTTCATTGAACAAAACAAAAAAAAGGGAACACAGCAGACAGTCACTGGTGAATTGTGCTGATATTTTACCAACCCATTCATGTGTCCGTTCACTGTAATGCGTGAAAAATAATCCCAATGAGAATCAAAAACAGTTTACGACCAGGTTTATCACACCAACCCAAGAGCCATAAACGTAAGTAAGTAGTCTAACATATGGCTGTGTGCGGGCTACTTGTTGAAAATCATTAAAGCTAAATAGGTCCAGGTATGGTCTGTTTTTAGAAAGTATACATTCTACAAAGGAAAAAGAAACAATCAAAATGTAACTAATGGTTTTTTATAAGGGAAAGAGAGAGAAAAATATGTTTTGTAATCGCACAACTGTCTCCGAAAATACAGGTATTCACACAAAGTTCACTGCATTGGCAACAGGAAACACTGAATGTCCTTCTTCACTTCTACGTACTGATATTTTATAAAGAAAATAGTGAATAAAACACTGTCGTTGTCAGGGATGCCTCAATATGTCACAAATATCGTATATTACGTTTATTTATTTGGTCACTGGAGGTAAGCGTTCAGGAGCACCATCTCCAGGGGTAGATGCTCGTCTTGGTTAGGACTACTGGAGCTGGAGGATACTGGAGGATGGTACATGGAACCGGAGTACCACACAAAAACCTCACTCAGCCACCAGATTGATAGCAACCAAACATCTCGTGAATCAAGAAGTTTCAGATGTTGGTGAAACTGAAATCCGTTATGAGTAGTGGCTGATATGAACTCAGAACCCATGTCATAGTTTCACTCATACAAAGTGGTTCTATACAATAAAACTAACCTATTTGTTTATCGGCCAACACTGAGCTGAATGAGCACCGACATCAGAGATGAAAAATCTGGATCACTGTATCCCTAATTCAAATCTTATGTGTGTGTGTTAATGTTAACTGTATGACTGGGTCTATAAATAAAATACAAGCAGTGCTCACTAGATACATATATTTTTGGCTTTTGGTTCATTTATTTTCCCTTTAAATAACATTTCACATTGATTGTCATTGGGCGCCTTTCCCCCATGGTACATTAGGGAAAAGGCCTTTTACTTTCTAGATAATGGCAAAATATATATGTGCTGGTGAGTTGCAAAAATAAATGCAACATTGTCAAATAAAAAAGACAAAAAGTCCTATTCCAAAATTATGAACTCATCTGTCAATAATTCTGATACAAAATGGAATCTTGTTATCTTATCTCATTTTCATGGACCCATTATCGCATCTACTGTTGAAATTGTCAGGTGTGAGCAGGGGCTTCACTCAGAGCTATGTGCTCTGGAGCAGCAGTGTGGCTGCTGGATGTTCTCCATCATCTGTCTAAACGGGTTCCTGCGGCGGCGACGGTTCTGTTCCGTTCTGTTTCCCCGTCCTTTCCCGATGCATGTTGCCCTGGGCGACGCCTCCAAGGGGGTGAGGGGCGTGGCCGTGGGGTTTAAAGGAGGCGGAGGGGGCAGGCTCTGCTTCTTCTGCTTTTTCACCTGTTTCTCCAGGTGTTTCTGAATGGCTGATCCCAGGACAGACACCTCCACCACAGCCCCGTACACCTCCCACGTCATGCCCTTCTCATCCCAGCTCACCTCCTGCACTGGCTCCTCGCTCTGGTCCTCATTGGTGTCCACTTCTGGCTTGTCTTCCTCCTCTGATTGCTTCTCTTCGCCTCCTTCCCCTCCCTCACTTTCCTCACTCTCTTTGTCATCTCCATCTTCCTCCTCTGCAGCGCCCTCCTCTTCCTCCACAACTTTTTCCTCAATGCTGTGACACTTGCCTATTTCAGGAAAGCTGGGAGCGGTGGGCGTCCGTGGGGTCATGGGTGCTGTAGCCACTGACCGATACTCCACTTGTGTCCCCACCTGCAGCTCAGCATCTTTGGTCTCAGCGCCCACTTCAGAGGGGAAGCAGAAGGCCTGGGCCCCCTCTGGAGGTGTCATGGGGCTGGTGGCAGCTGAGTGACACTGAACCACCTCCAGACTCACCTATGGCCACCAAACACAGGGAATAATTAGACAGACGTAAGCGAAGTGACCAGAGTGCATAATGTGATTGATGATTTAAGAAAGAAAGCCATGATATATGTATGAAAAAACAAAGTATGCTATTCCCAAATACCAAGTAATAATACATAAACAATATCATAATGATCCAAAAATTATGACTATCGGTCGGCCTATGATTATCGGTCAGCCTCGAGGAGATTCTGGCAAACCGTCCGGCGCCTTAAGAGGGGGAAGCAATGCTTTGCCAACACCGTTTACAATCGCAGGTGGAGAGCTTCTGACCTCGACTGGGGATACTGTTGGAGCGGTGGAAGGAATACTTCGGTTCTACTCCAACCCCCCAACATGTCCTCCATCCCGGAGACGGAGCCTGAGGATGTTGTGGCGGATACTTCCATCTCCCTGGCTGAAGTGACCAAGGTGGTTGGCAGCCTCCATGGTGGCAAGGCTCTGGGAGTGGATGAAAGCCGTCCAGACTATCTTAAGTCTCTGGATGTTGTAAGACTGTCTTGGCTGACAAGGGGATGGAGTGGCAGACTGGGATGGTGGTCCCTCTCTACAAGATGGGGGACTGGAGGTTGTGTTCCAATTATTGTGGGATCACACTCCTCAGCCTGCCGGGTAAGGTCTACTCCAAGGTACTGGAGACAAGACTTCGACTGATGGCAGTGTGGTTTTCGTCCTGGCCACGGAAATGCTGGACCAGCTCTATACTCTGTGCTTTGTGGATTTGGAGAAGGCGTTCAACCGCGCTCCCCGGGGTGTCCTTTGGGGTGTTCTTTGGGAATACGGGGTCCGGGGTCCTCTGCTGAGGGCCGTCCGGTCCTTATATGACCAGAGCCTTTGGCACCGGTTCTGTTCATTGTCTTCATAGATAGAATTTCTAGGCGCAGCCAGGGGCCAGGTCAGGTTTGGAGATCACAGGATTTCATCTCTGCTTTTTGTGGACAATGGTGTCCCGTTGGCTCCAACAAACCAGGACCTACAACATGCACTGGGACAGTTTGCAGCACAGTGTGAAGCGGCTGGGATGAGAATCAGCACCTCCAAATCTGAGGCTATGGTGCTCGAACGGAAAAAGGTGCCTTACCCTCTCCAGGTGGGTGGAGAGGTCCTTCCTCAACCGTTGTGGTAAAGAGGGAGCTGAGCCAAAAGGCAAAGATTTCGATTTACCGGTCAATCTATGTTCCCTCCCTTCACCTATGGTCATATGCTTTGGGTAATGACCGAAAGGACAAAATTGCATATGCAAGCGGTCAAAATGAGCTTCCTCCACAGAGTGGCTGGGCGCTCCCTTAGAGATAGGGTGATGTGCTCAGTCACACGGGAGGAGCTCAGAGTAGAGCTGCTCCTTCTCCACGTCAAGAGGAACCAGTTGAGGTGGCTCGGGCATCTGATTCGGATGCCACCTGGACGCTTCCCTAAGGAGGTGTTCCGGGCGTGTCCCAACTGGAGGAGACCCCGGGGAAGACCCAGGACACGCTGGAGGGACTATGTCTCTCAGCTGGCTTGGGAACACCTTGGGGCCCCCCAGATGAGCTGGAGAAAGTGTGTGTGTACAGAGAAGTGTGGGCGTCCCTATAGACTGCTGCCCCTGCGACCCAGCAACGGATGATGTGGAAGAAAATGGATGGATGGAAGGAGAGCCAGAACTTCTTAAATTATGCAAATTCTATCACATTCCACAAAGCATTCGCTGATTGTGAATGTATTGTTTAATTATTCTATATTAAAATTGTGTTTAGGAAATATGGTGCCATTTTTTTTTCTTAAATGTTTCAATAGAATTAATAAATGAATGATACCTTTATTATATCCCACAGTTGGGAAACTACAGACAATGTTATATCAGGAGTTTCCTTCTAAGGCTCCCATGAATTTAATAATAGGCCTTATTAGGAAATGTATTATTTTCACTAGCAGTACTTTAAATTGATCTGCCTCAGCCCTGGAGTCATCTACAGTCTGTTTTTAGGTAGAGACCAAACACTAGATTTCACAGACTTAACTGGCAACCACCACTAGATGTGTTGTAAATCATCCATGAAAATTGAATCTATATATTCCCTGAGTTCAAAAACAGCAATTTTTTTGTTAATTTTCACTCATAGATCTCACCTGAGTCCTCATGTTGTGGCAGCCAAACGGAGCAGGTGATTCTGGTACCACATCTTTCGGGTCTTGGGCTTCCAGTGAGTGAGAAGACTTGAGATCACTCTTTGCAGGGACCTCTTGTGCTTCTATTGTGCTTTTTGAAATGTTCTGAGCAACATTTTCATCCTGACTCTGCTCCTCCTTCTCCTCCGCTAGTTTCACCATTTCTGACTCTGCCGGACTTTGATCATTGGACTGGCTATCTTCTTCGTCTTCCCCATTGTTGCCATGGTGGGTCACTAGGATTGTAATGTCTTGATCCATACTCCCCATTCGCTGCGGCTTACCCTCTGGATTCACATTACCAGTGTGGCAGTTGGCTGAGCTTACCAGGGTGCCACTACAACCCAAATCCTCATTAGATCTGACCTCTGACTTAGAGGAACCAACTTGGCAACCCTGAGACTCCTCACTATTCTTTTGTGCTGATTCCTGACTCGGAAGTGATGGGAAAGTGCTAAAAAAGGGCGTTCTAGGGGTCATGGGAGATGTGGCGACTGAGCTATATTCGACTTCTTGGCCAACTTGAAGCTCTGCATCTTTAGTGTCAGTTCCCACAGCTTCACCTTTCGCAAAGGAGCTTGGGAAGAAGAAGGAGCTGTTATGGCAGCCCTCCGGAGGTGACATGGGGCTGGTGGCGGCGGAGTGACACTGGACCACCTCAAGGCTCACCTACAGTTCACCACACACAGAAGAAGAAGACACATGCAAAGGCCACATATAGGATTAAAGTTGAATTAAACCTAGCTTTCTCTATTATAATCCATATCTTGAGTTACTAGCTTTGAAAACAGTTTGGTTCAATCATTACTTTTCACATGCATTTATTTTTTTTAGCTTCTGTCACATCTTTACGTCAGCTTTATCTCAGCCTGATGTGTCATTAAGTAACATGCTGTGGTCTGATTTGTTCACTTGTTACTTTTAGAAGAATCTATGTTGGTATAAACTATATATATTATTTATGAGAAGAAGAAAAGACATTCAAGTTAAATACAAATATAGAATTACTTTTTCCTAGATGAGTTAACTATTCTGGTGGATATTAACTATTACATAAAACTAGAATTAAATTGGATGAAAAACAATATATTTGTTGTGCCATATGTGAACTTGCCATTTAGTAAATGGGTTATTGGTGACTCTTTTGTTTTGTGGTAACATGCAGTGCTGCCTGATAGGGTGGAATTGTATTTAACATGCAAAGCGACATTGCAAACAGCACAGCCACACTGCTCTCCAATCTGTTTATTGGAAAACAGGGATGTAAAATTTTTAGCAGTAATATCTAATTAGGATCTATAAAGTTCTCATTGTGTCTTAAACTATAGCAGATGTACTGTACGCATACAAGTTTGTTGTGGTGTTACATGATATAGTTCCATAGCATATTTTCATAATTGTCTAGATCTTTGAATGAAGACTTGCTTTGTGGTCATCTATATTCAGAACTAAACAGATGCTACAATATTTAAGACTTATTTGAGCTCAAATTTGTACACATAAAAGGTTTGGATCAAGTTTAAGCATGGTGACAATTGATAGCAATCACGGCATGCCCTACAGAGATTGGCCAATAACATATGGGCAAATCAGAATCTTCCACATACATACATACTGTGAAAAGACAGACCTGTGTGCGCATGTGCTGTTGTCCAAAAGGCGCAGGTGATCGAGGATCTGTGGGATCAGGAGTAGATGGTACCGCCACCGAGATGCTTTGCACATTGAGTGCTGCGTCTGCTTTTGCGCAAGAATCATCGTGGTTGTAGTCCATTGTTGATTCATTCGCTGGGCTTGTTGACTCCACGCCAGTGCTGTTCCGAAAGGCTTCGGTCGCGGTGCTGCTGCCATCTGAGCTTCTTGAGTCCTCTTGGTCTTCTGCTTTTTCACCAAGCAGCTGGTCCTCACTCACACCTCTCATTTCGTCCTTCAGAGTGCCCATTCTGTCCCAAAATCTGGAAAGCACAGAGCAAAACTGAAACCCAAGAACTGAGCCGAAAAATGACTTTACACAAAACATTGCTAGTTTGCTGGAAATGCAAATTAAAAAGTGGCAGAATGCAAAACAGTCTCACAAATACTTTAGTCTCACCTTCCTCATTACTTTTCAGCAAAAAAATAACAAGTATGGCTGTTTCTGACTATGCTGTATTTTTGGGTGATTTTCAGATGCGTATGAATCCCCAATATTGTGTTCTGTATTCTAAAAATAGCTGCTGTTGTTTTTAGTCAACTTTCAATGGAGCTATTCGGTCAACGGTGAAAAACACACACATTGATTATGCATTCTGTGAATTTGACGCAAACATTATCCCAGCAGAAGTGTGTGTGTTGATATGTTGATGGTGACACGTACCTCAGCAGTCCAAGTCAGTGTGAAGTCTCCCCATGCCGCTGGTCTAATCGAGGTGAAGAAACTGGGAAAACCTGGAGCCTATGAGGGTCCACAAGTGTCTGTCAAGATGTGTTGTCAGAAAGTGATCGCGGAGGCTACAGGTTTGTCTCTAGAAGAATCTATATCAGGCAAAGCTCAGGCTCTGGCACTGTCTGTTGAAAAGCTTCACATTTCTAGTTTCCAGGGAAACCACAGTCAGGCTCTGGCTGTGAGTGGTAATGTAATGACAAAATCTCTCCTCTTCGCTCGAATCAGCACTAAATCATAGTAATTAACTTCAGGTTCTTACAGTCACACATTGTGGCAGTATGCATATACTTCCGTAAAACATATGTATCTCTCGATCTCTGTTTACAAATATCATTGATGTAGTGTTAGTTTGATCATGTGTGTATAATTTGCTGCATGAAATCATGTATGACATTAAGACATACAGAGGTATAATTAATCCATTGCTATGCTCTTAGACTATCAAGGTGAAAAGTGAATATAGTGTGTGCTATTTTAGTTCTATCTGCTTGTGCACATCACAAATCAGTTAAAATTTTTTGCACAAACCTACATACAAGGTACATATACCCTATGTACTTTTATGTAGTCTATATGAATGTTGTAAACCACACAATATGAATATTAAAATGTAAATAACGTTCAATTAAGAGTGTCTGATGGGGGGAAACAACATTTTAACTCAGAAAACTGTACCTGCATTATGGTAACTGCTTTTCAGCATTCATGACAAACATAACTGACTTGCTTATTGAATAAAGTATTGCCTTTTAGAAAATGACTCTGTACAAATGTTTGCCACACGTTACTCTTGCTATAGTTCGCCTGTTCGTTTTTTTTTTCTCATTTAGAAAGAGTTCCAAAATGCTCTTCTATTGAACGTAAAAGGCTGAAGAAGCTATGCCGAGCTGTGCCGCCTACACGCGCTTGTCACGGCTCCTCCACACTTGTCCGCACGCGCACGGCTCCGTTAACGGCTTCAGCTCAGTCACTGTCCTGCCGTTAGCTTTTGTCTGTCCTGTCCATTAGCTCCTGTCTGCCCTGTCCGTTAGCTCCGGTCTGCCCTGTGTTTATCTCCTGTCTGTCCTGTCGGTAGTATGGCATGTGTCTGTTGAATACAGTGTAATCATTCGCGCACAAAGATGTATCTGCGTTATGTCTCTTCACAGTCTGCAGGCGCGCTGTTGTTGTTGTCATAGTAACCTGTTTGATGTAGGGAGGAGGTGAGCGCGTGCGGCTCAGGGCCAAGGTAGAAGCACGCGCACACTGCTCAGCGCGTGCGTGGTAGCATGGCGGCACCACTCACAATTTTTCTTTCTTCATAAAGACATGACATACATAAATGGATATGTAAAAATACATTTGTAAGTGCAGGTCTAAAACATGGTGGATGCAACAACATTTGATGTAGATACAAGCAAGACAATGTGCAAATATAAGTGCACTTACATTAAGCATTGATTATGTACTTTGTACAAATCTACATACAATGGTGTCTATGGTTTAAACATATAGTTTTGTTGTTTCTACCGAAGAGTGTGCTATAATGGGATTACATGTTTTATTTCAGAAATAAATGCTGAATATGTTTTTCTGAATATGAGTATGTTCATTGGGTTAATATTATTAAAATTTGTGTCATACTTAATCTACTGCTTTTCTATCTTATTACTTTCATTTGTCTCACCACAAACCACAAATAGCCATCACCAGAGCCCGGAACAAATAATATTGGAGTGAGCAGGCCTCTGCTCAGGACTTTTTATGACTCTGTGGTAGCTTATCTTATTGGTCAAAATTGTAAAATTCCAGGTCACACATCACAAACGTCAATTTGGGATCAAAGAAGCATGCATTATAGTTTCTATCATAACAAGAGTTTCTATTTACAATTACTCTAGTCTATTTACAAATTTAGACAACACCTAAACTTGGAAGTGGTCACAGGCCCTTTATCACTGCTCACGGTTTGAAAACTTGTTGTTTCTTCCATCAATTATTTGTTGTTTCTCTCATCTTTCTTTTTCTTTTCTTGGTTAAACACAGGTCAATAGAAAGCTTAGTGATTGATGACTTCTTCCAAAGCAAAGTGACTGACCTGTACACAAAATCAAAACTTATTGAATTGAACCCAATGGACTTTTATTTTACGATACATACATGATATTCAAAATAAATATACGGTTATAAAGCTCTGGAATGTACTATAATATGTCTAGTTAGCTAGCTTTTTTTGAATGTCAAATATTATTCTTGCCAATTTCTTCCATTTTTTTCTCTTGATGTCACAACTCATTTTGTGTGCAGGCTCTGTCCAAACTCTTTGATGCCGTCGGAGGCCTTGTCCGCAGCTTTGCCAATGGAGGCTTGACTCTGTCTGCTCACCTCCTGGGCAGCTGTAACAAGGATAATGTGATCACATGTGGGTTTTATGAAATCAACATATATTTTTGGATAATTGATTTACATGTAGAATTATCATATAATCATAAAACCTATAGAATGTCCACAATTGCTTTACTTTCTATTGTTCTACATCAGATATCAGAAAACGTTGAATCTTCTGCATACGTGTAAGAAAGAGCCCTGTGAGTCACTATTTGACGTTTTGGGCAGAGAGCTGATTGGTTTAAAGGTGTCCTCTCTTTTTAACTTTCCTTCGTGATAAGATGTAAAAGAAAGAAAATTGCATGTGAAACCCAATGAAGAACAAGGAACTTTGGACTTTATTCCATACTTACATAATGCATGGTTTGAAAGTTAGGTCCCCTAGCTTTAATAGCTTGTGGAAGAATAGCAACAGTGCTGAAGCATATAAATTACATTTGTCACTAATTGCTCTTGCGGCAGAAAATCCAGACAGCTGGTTTTTCAAAGTCGGTGTTACACAAATTGGCCAGAGAGATTGATGTGTGAATTAGTCAAAATGAACACAGCTGGGCAATGGGTGTATGAATATGAAAAATATTCTGAAAATGAAAAGTCTAAAAACTGTGCAAAGATGTGATACCTGCACTCATGGTTTCTTTGGAGGAGTCTGCCACCTGCTGTATCGCCTCTTGAGCTGCTTCCACTACTCAAGCACATGAAACACTCTTACACTTCCAAACCCCATGGGAAATATAATGCATTTTTAGAAGCACATTTCACACTTTTCGCCTTGTTTTTACCTGTGTTGTCTGTCACTCCCTTGGCTGCAGAGTGGCCCGTGCCCTTTAGGCTCTCAAAGGACTTCTTGAATGAGGCCATGTCTGCGTTTGTCCCAGCGGCTGCACATCAGAGCCTGCATGGGATGAGCTTTATACTCTCTGTTTGGGACGAGCCAGTGCCGAGGATTAACCCAAACAAAACCAGTTCCCTGCGACTGGCATCTCAACTATGGGCCTGGGCGGCGCGTGCTCAGCAGATTCAGGGAGGCAAACCCAGGCAATAACACTGACAGGACAAATGAGTGTGTAAAGTATTGTGCATGTGGGATTCTTCCAATGAACTGGTGCAAACAAGAAGGCAACAAATAAATCAGTTAATACATGCTTAACACAATAGTTTGATCAGTAATCCCCAAGTACTGTAGTTCAATAATCGAATAATCAGTAAGTGCTTCACAGAACAGAGTCTGATTAATTTCCAAAATAAATTCTCATTTCACCTATATACAGTTGAGTTTTTTCTTGAAAAATAATGTATTTGAATGTCCTCCTATGAATACTTACAATCAATCAATGAATGTAAATGACAATATTAATCAAACTATTATAAAAAATAACCTTTTGTCACATGTTGCAGCCCAATTGCATTATAAGCAGTATTTAAAATGCAATTGGGCGTTGTAAATAAAATATGATTTGTTGAACAAGCAATTTTTGTTCCATTTGGACTTCGACAAAGGGTACAGGGGCTGGCCTCCTGCTGGTGCCCAGAGTACAGAGTAAACGTCTTCGTCTTCCTTAAAAAGTAAGATAATACACAGTAATGTTCAGCTTTGACTACATGAGAAAACATATTAACTTATAAACCCACCAACAGGGGGGAGTGTTGTATCCGTCTGTGTGTGTCTGTAGCACACACTCTAAATAAGTCAGGCCTGACGTATCACCGCCGTGTAAACAAATGTGCCACCACTTTTGCCTTCTGTGGGGCTTTTTCAAAATGGCTGGGGGGTACGAAAATGTGAAAAAACGCATTTGCGCATGCGTTAGCCGGAACCAGCCCCATTCATTTAACGAGGGCCTTCTGAAGTCCGCAGCGGCTACACTAGACTGGACTAAAAAAATACTCCCCTCAGCATTGACACGCATCTGGAATGTAGCTTTGGGCCAAGAACCGACTTTTGGACCATCCTGTAAAGACGTTTTCGAAAGAGGAAAGAAGACCCCATAGAAAAGCATAGGGTGATTCTTATTCCGGGTCCACCCCCACCGGCCCGCAGTGAGATAGCAAGCACATGGTCATGCACCTTTTGGAGCCGGGACCCGCCCCCACTGGTGTTTAGGCAGGAACGCACAAAATATACTAGACAGATTGAGCTGAAATGTGGTGTTTTTTGTGTGGGCTGGCTGGAATTCATCCTGCTGCATATTGTATTAGAGGCTGAATTACATACTGTACAATGACATACAATTATGAAACATGATCTGCCCATATTTTTCTGGCTTTCAGGATGAATGCAAATTGCACACAGTCTCTGTCATGTCACTAGATCACCCACGAATTGGTCAGAACATGAAATAATTTACAAAAACCAAGGGGTGATTTTCTTTTTCAGTTTTTATTTACAGAGGAATCATGTCTGGCTTTACACATAAACCTTTATATGGACAAGTCCTGCAATTTAAAGCACATAGTGATATGACAACTATTATGACCTCAAGACATAATATATCAACTTTAAAATCTTCACACCAACACACGCACACAAACATGTAAACTTTGTCCATTTCTAACAGATAGATTTACTGGAATGATCACAAGCAACTATAAAGATACAATGTAAAAAATAAAATCGTACTCCAAAAATCTCAGTCTTCAAAGAAAAAACATAAATAAATCCAAATTATCCACAAACAGGCATTGTCGACACTTAGAAGAGGATATTATTGTACTCATAACTGCTTGCAACCGGACATAATTATTTTTTACACTCCCAAAAGTTTCCATTGGAAGTTGATGAACATCTATTGCACACTTCTACAGATACACACAAGTACAAAGTCACAAGCCCCGGCGCTGGTCTCAATTCATTGGGAGGGAGTCAAGGAACTGAGACTGGCAGGACGTCCTACAGTTCAATAAATACCTACACCCACACACATTACATTAATAACATGACATTTACAATATATAATAATAAAAGATTTGTCTCGAAGGAAGAACATTTTCAGTGGGAATGCTTGTATTTTTAGATTTTCTTTTTTGCAATAGGGGTGTAATTGGAATTGTATCAGTATTTGTCCTTGTTTTTATTAGAAATATTATTGTGCTGCTGGTTGGATGTTGGCTTGGAATGATACTTTTACGCCTCTGGTTCGTAGTCCTGGTTCTCCTGTGAACAAACACAAGGAAAAATTATGGCTTTTTAAACTGAAAACATAACATTATAGACATTATAATATAGCAAACTGAAAACTGAAATAATTTGGGTGAACTGTTTTTCGTTATCCTCATACATGTCCATGTCTGCATTATATTTTCTTTGCTCAGAATGTTCTACACTAAACTTAATTACCAAGCATATTTTGATAGTAATATCACTCCCACACAATGCACCTTTAGCCCACTTAAAAATAAATATCAGTTCATCCATAGCAGCCTTTTTTGGTGCTGCTTATATTGATAATTGACAGCAGGATCAATCCATAACATTTCATGCAATTTGCCAGTATACACTTTGACCTGGTTCCATGTGTGAAAAATAGGGTTAGGGTTAGGGTTAGAAACATTTGTTTAATCGCTGGTCTCATTTAATAGCACTACATTTATTGCACCTTTGTTTTAAATCATAATATCTGACATTATGCTACTAATGAAACACACTGTAAGATAGCAACAGTAGATAATGATGTCACTCCCCTGTGCCAGACCATACTGTGTCCACCAGAGGGCAGCACATCTCTGGTTTCAGCTTCAAGGACGTGTGTCGTGAGTGCAGCGCTCCTCCTCCTCAGTCAAACAAGCATGCACAAAAGCACAGCCCGCGGTCACCACAAGTCACTCAAGTCATAAACTGCATCTTAAACCCATGTCTGGCTCCACCCCACCCACCACAGCATCTACGGCGGTGCAGCGAGGGAGACCCTGACATGTACCCATGATGCAGCAGGGCGAGCTCGTCATCACCACACCCATCAGACTGGTGCTGATGGTGGGAGGGGATGGCGGCAGTGGGGGAGGGGAGAGAGGAGGATGCAGGACACAGATATTCACTTTTAATTTAAGTCTCCATTTCACTGGGTAAAAAATTCATCAGTGGATTCGGGACAGAAGCAGGCCCAGACCAATCAAACGGAAACCAATGATATTTTTTTGAACTAAAACCAGACCAAGTCAATGTGTATGTATCCTTTTAGATTAATGAATATACTCTGATTATACATGATTTGGCTTGTTTTAATGTTTTCTGTCTTGTTTTGTGAAGTACTTTGAGTCACCCTGTACTAATACACTTGCCTTGCCATTGCCACCTATGTGATAGTAGCCTTAATAAGTGTGTATATTAAAACTAGAAATCATGACATTTTATAGAAACATTTCTGAAGGAGGATGAGGGAATAGAACTTGGGTCTCTTCACAGTTTTTTTTTATGAAAGAAATAGAAATAGCTGAAAATCTATATACTGCACATGTATGATAAAAAGGATTGCAGCTTTTCTTGTACGCAGAAATAGCTCCAGTAATAAGCGTTTTATCCAGATACCAAATAATATGAGGAATATACAGGACTATGACATTATAACCCATTGTTTGAAAATTAATACATCCAGAATAATGTGAGCGTGAAGAAACATAATACACCCATTGATTTTATTACTACCCATTCCCCTATACATTACAGATAGTGTTTTTCTGTGATCCCAAAGCACTAGTCCCTGTACAGTTACAGTCTCTTCCTTCACAGCCAAAAGCTAAAAATAACTTTGTGTGTGAGCCTAAAACGCACACAGCTCCACTCAGCCAAGGCTTATCAGAGAGAGGTGGTGCTATATTCATCTTTCACTATAGTCACTATGAGGCGATTGGCTTGTGGAAACCTCGGATCATTTCCCGCGGAGAATAAAGCGTTCTGAATGTGTGTGAGACGGAAGCTGGGGCCAAAGGTTTAGTGCCGTTGAGAAGCACTCCAGCTTAAAACATTGGATAATAATGTGCAGCTGTGTAAGCGTCAATGGAAGGTAGGTGTGGATGATGCCATGTTATAAAACCATTTTCCATGGATGACCAACAAGCGTAATGGATCAATTGTATATAATCTGTTTTTATATAACAGTAAGAGGTGCCTAATTATCAGAATGAGAGCTGGTTTTAACCACTTTTATGCAACAGGTTTCCGGTTTTTTCTATGTAGAAGTATACTTGTGTAGCTTGTCTGTTGCTTTATGATTATGATTTCATTTTTACATTATGAAGGGATTTTGACCAAAGGACTTTATTTAAAATTAGTTTGGATATACTTTAGAATTTCCTGAACAAACTCAGTTAAGCAGGACCCAAAGTAAGGAAGGCTGGCTATTGTAAACTTTTTTTTCTTTTTAAATTAAACTTTTATTAATTGTATTTAATGTCTAGAATACAATACATATTGGGGCAGTCAAGGCCAAAAATATTGTGTTACTCGATGTTATACAGCATCACTTTGCATGAATATGAATTAGCAGAATTGAAAAGAGGACCAATAACGGTAAACTGAATGTATGTAAAGGCCATGAAAGATCCGCTTAATTTGGACATGTAGACGCGCCTGAAAACGAATGCTTTGACAGGGTTTACCTTTAGTAGTCATTCAAGATTTCCAAAATACTACTACAGCACAACAGGGCTGTAATCGTCCAGAGAAATTCTTGGTTGACTAAACATCTGCCTTGATCTGGCTTGAATATCATTTTAGGGTTCACTTCCCATGATTTCAGTTTTTAAAATATAAATCCTTGCAATTTTTACAAATATAATGAACTGAATTGAATACTGAATCCAGGAATGAGAATGCAAAGAGTAGAGTGGGAGCAGTGGCAGAGAGAGTGAGGGCTGATTACCTGCTGGGACTCGTCATATGTCTCCCCTTCTGGCTCCAGCATGGCCTCTCCCTGGCCCTCCATGGCCTCCTGCCCGTACTCCTCTGGCTGCACATGGATACAAGGGAAATAGTGCAGTCAAAAACACAATATTGCACATCCAAAGACAGCATGGGACAGAAGAGCGACCTGGGAACATGCCTTTATCTGATTCTATTTGCAAGAACTACAAAAGAATAGTGCAATAGCTATAGTTTTACATTTCAATCAATCAATCAATCAACTTTATTTGTATGGCGCCTTTCCAACACAAGGCCACTCAAAGCGCCTCACAACCCACATAATATCAGACAAATCAGAGACATCAATAAATACATTAAAAACAGAATAAAATCACAAGTAATGAAAAAAAAAAAAAAAAAAAAAAAAAAACCTTAAAATATTAAAAGCACACACGGGATTAAAATAATAAATAACCACAATGCATTACAAAAAAAGAGTATGTATCAATAAAATCCTTCAGCCGTATGCACAGCTAAAAAGAACAGTTTTTAGCCCTGATTTGAAAATTGCCAGAGTAGATGCTAGCCTCACATCTTCAGGAAGATTGTTCCAGATTTTAGCTCCATAAATCTCAAACGCTGCCTCCCCATGTTTAGTTCTGACTCTTGGAACCAGTAAGAGGCTACCTCCTGTGCTCCTCAGAGCCCGGGCCGGTTCATATGGCACTAACAAGTCGCTTAAGTACCCTGGTGCGAGGCCATGGAGAGACTTGTACACAAGCAGTGCTGCTTTGAAGTCTATTCTCTGAGCCACAGGAAGCCAGTGCAGAGACCTGAGAACTGGACTAATGTGGTCATATTTCCTGGTCCTGGTCAGGACTCGAGCTGCAGCATTTTGGACATACTGCAGTTGTTTTACAGCCTGTTTGGAGAGACCTGTGAGCAGGCCATTGCAGTAGTCTAACCTACTGGAGACAAATGCATGGATGAGAATCTCCAGATCTGATTTAGACACTATGTTTCTAATTTTGGCAATGTTTTTCAGATGGTAAAATGCTGCTGATGTTACTGATTTGATATGACTGTTAAAATTTAAGTCTGAGTCCATTATAACTCCTAGGTTTCTGACCTTGCCTACAGGTTCCAGGGAGAGAGACTGGAGGTGACGAATAACGCTCTCTCTTTGTTTCTGAGGACCAAAGACAATCAATTCTGTTTTTTCTGCGTTTAGCTGAAGGAAGTTATTTTGCATCCAATCACTAATCTGTTGAGTACAGTGAAGGAGTGATTCCACTGGTCCATGTTCTTCTGCAGTAAGTGAGACATAAATTTGAGTGTCATCAGCGTAATTGTGGTAGGATACATTGTTGGAGCGTATTAACTGACCTAATGGCAGCATGTAAAAATTGAACAGAAGAGGCCCCAGAATTGATCCCTGTGGCACTCCGCAGGTCAGAGCCATATGATCTGAGACACAGTTTCCTATCTGAACCAAGTATTTCCTGTCTTCTAGGTAAGACCTAAACCAACTTAGGGCAGTCCCAGTGACACCCACCCAGTGCTCTAGTCTCTGCATGAGGATCTCGTGGTCGACTGTGTCGAACGCAGCACTCAGATCCAACATTACTAAAACTGTGACTTTTCCTGTGTCGGTGTTAAGTCGGATGTCATTTGTAACCTTCACTAGTTTGCCTTGACTAGTTTGCCTTGACTAGTTTGCCTTGACATTTGCCTTGACTGTGTGCTGAAGATGTTGCAGCAGTAATAGTGGTAGTACTAGTAGTAGTAGTAGTAGTAGTAGATGTTGCAGTAGTTGTAGTAGCAGGTGTTGCAGTAGTAGTAGTAATAGTAGTAGATGTTGCAGTAGTTGTAGTAGCAGATGTTGCAGTAGTAGTAGTAGTAGTAGATGTTGCAGTAGTTGTAGTAGCAGATGTTGCAGTAGTAGTAGTAGTAGTAGATGTTGCAGTAGTTGTAGTAGCAGATGTTGCAGTAGTAGTAGTAGTAGTAGTAGTAGTGGTAGTAATAGTAGTAGTAGTAGAAGTTGCAGTAGTAGTAGTAGTAGAAGTTGCAGAAGTAGTAGCAGAAGTTGCAGTAGTAGTAGTAGTAGAAGTTGCAGTAGTAGTAGTAGTAGAAGTTGCAGTAGTAGTAGTAGTAGAAGTTGCAGTAGTAGTAGGTCATCACTCAGCACAAGCATTGTAAGCAGGCTATTAATGTGGCCATGGCTGCCCTGGGGCAGAGTGATACACACATGGCTGTCAGTCCTGTGGCACTAACACATTCTGAAGTGGATAATATCACAACAGAAATCTACAGTGATATAATTGTATGGCTCTAACTCTAACTTTAAAGCAGGTTGTAGGCAGTAAATGATTTCCTCAGACCAGTGTCATTAAACATCCGGATCTGTGACAAATACAGTGTCAGATGATTAGTGATTTAAGAAACTAACCAACTAACCAAGGAAAAAAAACATCTACATTGTTGCAAATGGTTGTTTAAGATAAGGCCTCGTGGTGGAACCAAGGACCAACTGGTGTGTACGCATTTAGTGATGATATAGTATTTAGATCATGTAAAAAATGGCAGATTGTTTAATAATTGTGAAACTCTTATTGTGATACTTTTATAGTGCATAACACCATAAAGGAGAAATAATCCTAATCACCAGAATAACATCTATAGTATAAGTAAAATGCTGTATGCAGTATGTAAAACAAGTTTAAGCGCAACATTTCTTTGTTTTTCTCTTCAGACCAAATAGTCCAGAAGAGACTGCGAGGTCCGGAGCTCACGAGCCCCAAAGCTGTACAGCCACGGTTCTGTGGCCACGTGAACATGAATCAGAGGCCAACAGGTTTGTGAAGATAGGGACATATTTAATGATGCACTTTTTGCGTTTTTTGAAGTGCATCCTATGTTTAAGACAAAAATGGTAAGTTTCAGCTGTGTACAGTATGTGGCTCAGAGTTATAATCAGTGGATTTTTCACTTGAATGGAGCAAGATGTAGTTCATTTCAGCAGTTGTTCAGACTGACTGCAGAGACAGAGAAAAGGGCCAAAGTCCGAGTACCAGCCCTGACTCCCTGACAGCTTTGACAGCTCCACGATATGTTAACATCTTGACAACTGGTGGCTATAAGGTCACGTGAAGCTGCAGAGAGGAACATTTTAATCAAAGTTCTGTCAGCAATGATTCTATGCATAGAAACGCAGCGTCAATGTGCTGTAATTTAGAAGTGTTTGACCCACAAAGAGAGCTTTATAATTCAATTTATTTCTTATAATTGGAGCTTGAGATAAGACAAATGAATGAATTACATACAATCTTCACATTCAAATTGAAAGAGCCTTGAGCAAAGTTGTTCTCTGTTAATGAAGGAGGGTCTAAGGACAGGGGAAGCTGTGGGACATTTCATAATTTGCTCAAACATGGCTTAATGTGTTTGTCTTAAAGGGCCGATACTATTCAGGCGGCACGGTGGCTGAGTGGATAGCACTCTCGCTTCTCAGCAAGAAGGTCCTGGGCCTTTCTGAGTGGAGTTTGCGTGTTCTCCCCGTGTCTGCGTAGGTTTCCTCTGGGTACTCCGGTTTCCCCTACCACTAAGTCCATGTACAATAGGTCTGGCATGCGCCTCCTGTACTGGCGACCCCGCTCCCATCTCTGTGTGGACTGAGAGGACAAATGCCCAAAAAATAACACTTGTAAACTGCTTTGTGACTCTGGTCTGTGAAAGGTGGTATATAAATAAAGATTACTTTCTACTACTACTACTATACTATTTGTTCTCTTGTTTAATATGCTTTTGCTGCTGCTTTGTTCTGATTTTGATTTGATATAACATGACAAGTTTTAGATGATTAATTAGTGTTGTTGCTTTTTCAAATCACTATAGAAGCAGTGCTATTGCAAATTACCACCCTCCTCTTAAATATACAATATACGCCAACATTTATGAAGTATAACAGTATGATCTCTTCTATTCAAAATCCCTGTATCGAGCTGCAGAGAAGAGCAGAGGGTTCAAAGCGCTGACATTTCCAGAGGTCAATAGGTTTAGACTCGAGGAGCTATAATGGAAACGTCATGTGACAGAGAAAGATGATAGTCCCACAGCGAGACTGTTTGGGTCAATTAAAATGCTGTGTGAACTGAAGCCTCTCTAAAGAGTGAGGAAGGATCCCGGCACAGAAAGGGAACCGGCAATCAATCTTTGCTGACCTATGGGCTCTCGACACTTACACTCATTTATTTTAAGTGAAGTAAGTAAAAGTTATGGTAATTTGGTCCATTTGTTACAGTTGTCGACAAGTCTGAGAAGCCACAAGTGGTGACTGGCTTCTGATCATTCACATTCACGATTTTGAACCAAAGGGCAGAAAAGGCCGTAAGTCCAATTGTTTTTTCATAACCAATCATTCAATTTTAAGCTTCACATTTTCACGTTGATGAATCAAAAGAATGCAAGTGCTAAAATGTAATTGCTGAGTAAATAAGACACAGTACTGTCAAGTCAAGCCATCTCATAATTATCATACTTGTGTAAAGTTTAAAGGTGATGTCATTATCAATTTCATGCTTTTTATACCATATGAGCTTGTAATATTTAGTTATGTGATTATTTTTCAAAAAGAACAAAGAAAAAAATCCTTCCTTGTGGCAAAACGGCCATCATTAATATTTTCTAGGGGAAAATAGTTAGACCAATGGAGATGATTTGAATTCAGTTTGTCCAATCAGGAAGCAGTAAGGAATGCATGGCCGGATCTAATTGGTTCTCGCCATCAAACTTTTTCTCTTTTCACCAGTTGAAAAGTGACAGAGGCAGACTTCATCCAAGTAAAGCTTATTCTCACTTGTGTGGATACAATTCTCCAAACTGTTTTAACTCCATGACAATTGAAACCTGGATGATGACATATGCTCTACGTTGCTCTAGTGTTTCGCTCTTTCGTCAGGGCACAGGAGACAGCTCGTGTTGGGATTCATTAGCTCATGTGTCTCCCTGCTGTCGAAATCCGTGTCCGGTCCAGACTTTAATGACCAGTGCCCACAGCCTTCTGCCAGCTGTAAGTGAGACCCAGATTTAGCTCTCTCCTGCACTTCTTCTCGATGTCTCTCCATGAAACTATAGGTCTCCTCCACACAACAGACTGGGCGCTGCTTGTATCCTTTGGCACAGTGAGCTGTTTACCTTAATATTATTCATCCGGGGGCAAGATCTGGCCCGCAAATGAATGATCTTGGCCCCCAGAATGATTTTTGATTAGTATTAGAACCGGCCTGCACAGAGCCATAAGAAAATATTGGATTATTCATTTAGTGTTCAAGACATGGGTTTTCTCTTTGTAGGAAGATTGTTTCTGTCTGTGAGCCTGCTGAAAATTATTTTCACTTTAAATGACAGATCTAGAGAGAATATGGTACTCGGTGTTAGGTCTTGGTTCAACAGGTTATATGCAATCATTTCAATATTCTTTAAAAAAAAATTGAAGCAGCCCGGCCCTCGGCTTGTAACACATTTGTTTTTTTGGCCCTCTGACTTACTCACATTTCCTGTTCAAATCTTCCTCTAAATGGGCGTAGCCTGGAGGACTAAAGGGGGCGTGAACGAGACTGGGCCGTTTACATTGCTCTGGGCGGGGGGCTGCTGACGTCAGGTCTTGCTTCAGACGTCAGGTCTTGCTGCCGCGCCAGTGTTGGCGCCAGATTCAAAATTCAAATGTAGTAATACAGGTCGCCAGCAGATGGCGCCTCACAGACGGTTTTAGGCAGAAAGTTTAACTTTCAACTAATTTGCACCAAAGTGACAAGATTATGACCAGGATATGTAGACAACACTATTGGACACTCATTTATACCGTTTATCAGCAAAAAAAAGTGGATTTGAGGGTGAGTTGTCCTTTAACTTTGACATCCCTGGAATAGTGCAATAAACCAGCTTTACCTCAGGAGCATACGCACAGTGCAATATGTAACCAGTGAGGAAAAGAATTGATGTAAATATTATATTAATCACAGATTCAAATCCAGTTAGAGCTTGAAGGATATCTCTTTTAAATGTATCCCAACATATTCAATTGTATTGTTGTTTAATTATAACAATGTGGGCAATTCACCCATAACTCTGCAATCAAAGCAAATGTGCTCTGATGGCCCATGGCAATAGTTAACTACTTTTTCAGTATAATTCATTATGTTGGTTTTACTTCCCTCATCAATCAATGTGTGATAAAACAAAATAGAGCACTAAGCTGTTCCAAAGTAGCTCTAGTGTAGTACCACGATGTCATGAAAGACAAAATCCAACTTACATTATTCTGGTTTTATTTCGAGTTTATATCAACAGCTCACCTCGTCTTCCCCCATGAATTAGAAGGCTCTTTCTGGCAGTTTTAGAGACCTTTTGTTGTTTCTGTATTCTTAGTCCTGGTCGACATCTTTATACTTAATCTTAGATCACTCAGATCCCCCAGAATGCAGCTAGAACTCTGTAATTCTAAGGAGACATACAATTGCAGGTGTATAAGACAGTTTCTGGTGGTACAGTACTTACGTTCATGTCAGAGGGAAACTCGTCCTTCTTCACCAGACCAGTGGCAGCAGCGATGTTACCCATGGCCCCAGTGGTCCTCTCAGCCACTGCGCACACACACACACACACACACACACACACACACACAAACACACAAACATTATACACTCCACATGAAATCGTTTCTGTGTCGATTCTGCAGACGGATTAGAAATACACCATCGTGCAGTGGCTTCATGTTTTTGCTCTTCAGTTTTCCAATTGATTATCGCCCCACCCCATCACACACACACACACACACACACACACACACACACACACACACACACACACACACACACACACACACACACACACACACACACACAACTAGCTGCTTCTGGGAAATATGTTTTTAAAAGTAGTTGAAACTCACCCGTGCCGTACCCGTCTTTGGCCTTGTTTCCTGTAGAGAAAAGAGAAGGAAATTAGCATACTAGACTTAGCAGCAGCACATGCATCTAAACTTAATTTCACACTTCATCAATAGACTCTGACATGTTTCCAAATAGAAGTAAATATTGTAAGACATAAGTACTTGCCAGGATTAGATATAGATGCAACAACCCAAATGATATGATCTTGTATTGGTTTTGTGTAGCTATCTTATGCGGTATTCATTCACTCATTGGGGGTTTTTCAATTTGAGAAAAAGAACCCCCCAAAAACTCTATTATTTTATGATTATGTAATTGTGTGATCTCTGACAGTGGCCATAGATTTCAGGAGCTCTAATTCAAAACATTGGTTCAATCTACAATCTGAGCAACCCGCACTGGTCCTGATGACTGCTTTTATCAACAAGTCCAACTTAGCTTATGTGATATTTCTTAGCTTGTTGGCTCCATATAAAATCTCCCAAACATAAATGTATACCTAATCAACACAATATATGCATCGTCTATAAACTATTACAACTTTTGTCCAAGTCACATCCATGTCATTCCATTGATGTATACAAAGGCTGTATGAAATGTGTCATTCTCTAAACACAATTGAAGAAATACATTTATCAATTTGTCACAGAGCTCCAGGTCCATGTTAAGTCTGGGTACTTATGCACAAGTATTCCAAACTAAAAATGGATTTATAGAGGCTGCAGATCTATGCAGATAGTCTTCCTGAGGTTGTGAGACAGGCCTCTTCCCTGACCATGTTCCAAACCAGGTGGACAACATATCTGTGTAGCTGCGCATACAACAGATTCTATTTCAAGATTCAAGATTCTTTTTTGCCATTAGCAGTAAAACCACATTGAAAAAACTGTGCAAGACTACCCCAGTGTGCACCAGACAGAGAAGACAGTACACACCAGTGCTCCTGCCATATTTTGTGTTATTTTGATATTTTTAAACGCCCATATAAATAAGATTTTTAAGATCAACACTTTTATGCTGCACTGTTTTAATATGACATTGTTGTATATTGATTTATTTGTATTGCAATCTTGACCTGTTTTTAATCCATTTTAATCCGTGCTCTTGAATCTGGATTAAATCTGGATTGATAAATTGATTTATTTTGTCTCAAGTCTTAAGGCATCTGTGGCAACTCAAGTCCATGCCACTCCACCATCTCCCTTAAAATCTCTCCTCCATTTGTTCTTTTCTGACTATGAAACAATTGAAGCCTTGGAGTAAGAAAGAGTTGTCCAAGTTCTGCCCTTCTGTTCCTTATCTATAGTTCGAGGCGTCTCAGCGTTGTTGTGGCTGTCTGTATCTTGAGCTATAAACTGTTTTAAACACAGCACAGATCAGGCCTTCAATTTATCACTCAGGGCATTATTGATCCAGTAATTAACGAAGAGAAACAGGCCCTGATGTCAGAGACCATTCGTTTCAGCTACAGCTTTGAAACGACTTGGGTCTAAACACATCCTCATTACTGTCAAATACAAGTGTTCTCCTTAGAGTTAAAAATACCACGTTCATTTGGACTAGAGCATCAATATCTTCTATATGTGGTACGTTTAACAGTGCTACTGCTAGTTAACCTATTTATGTGTTTTTAAATGACTATTTGTTGGGGATGTGCTAAAAACTCATAATAATGGAGTTTGTTGATAGCAAATTGGGGTAAACAAATAAAAAAATAAAAAACATAAAGCAGGAAGTAAAGCATTGAATTCTAAAAGGAATCCTTCTCTGGAGCTCATTTCAAAGAGGAACAATAAAACATTTCACCTGCTTTTAAACAGTATTAAATTGCTGACATATATATTTATAACATACAATAGAACTAAAAGAACACTGGATTAACTCCCATGGTCACTATCCCTGGCACTACTACACACCTGTGCGTGTGCTCATCAGCATCATTCTTCACTTTATGCATTTAATCAGCTCGTGCAGCAACCCTCCTCCTCCCACATCAACAGAGGGAATATCGCTCTTCTTATCATCGGCTTGTAGTTTCAGCTTCCACCTCCCTCAGGTTTAGATATTATACGTTCTCTAAATTCTCTATTTAAATTATACCCTGCATACATCCTACAATATGCAATATGTTGGGTTTAAGCACCAAAGTCATCCAAATGTCTGTGTCTTTCAAAACTGAATTGATATTAGGCATTTTTTGAATCTGTCAGAAATGGGGGAGAGACTTCAGAATAATAAAGTAATATAAGTTTAGTAGAAATGTGTCTTGGGACATGCTTTACACAGATGCCACATACATTGACATAGATACACCACAGTAGATAAATCATACACTAATCCAGTGGAAAAATGAACGAAACATAAACTCATGTATAATAATGCTGAATGTGCCTGCATTATGAGACGGTTAAATATTGGTGCAAAATTGCACCAATATTGTATATTTTGATAAGTTATTTGTAGATAACTGCAAGATATTTTTCTATGTATTCATGTTTATGCTTTTTCTTTTATATGCTAAACCCCTAATGCTGTTTATGCTAAATATTCAATCCACTAATATACATTTCCAAATATTACTATATAACATACTTCTTGTCAATTATTTCTATTATTAATACGGCTACTATAGTATTATTTACCCAAATACTTATTACCCAACTGTGAGGAAAGCCATGAGCTTCACATAACAGCATATTGTGCACATTGTTCTATTCAAGCCACCACTGTAATTATGTCATTTACAGCACTGGTTTTCTGAGTACATGTTTTGACTGATCCTTCCTTTTCATTTTTTGATAAAAAAGCCCCAATGGCGAGACTAAGATGGCTGAGTTGTGTGTCTCCCATCGCTCATTCAGCTTGTGGGCGTATGGTTTGCAGTGGCATCTGTCAAAAGGTGGGCCGCAGACCTATTGGATGGCTCATGCCCCTCCTCCGGGAAACAGCCTTCAAGGAGATCTATGTGGATTTCTAGGCCATGCTCCATAACGCATTACCTGATTTTATGCTTTCATCTCTTTAACATATAATCTGATGTACAGCTGGACATGTGCGATGTGTTGGTGAGTGACAGAGACTATGCTAAGTGTGAGGTCGGTTATTGGACTGTATAACCCTGACCTCCAGGAAAAGCAGAAGCCAATTTCTCTCACAAACTGCTAATCTAATGAACTGAGATGATGTTTATTTCTTTGGTGCAGCTTAAACCTTTAAAAGTTAAATATCACTGATTCTGACAAAAGAAAATGGAGCAAATGTGGACAAAATGAATGCTTGGGCAAAAAAATATGTATTCAATTCAATCCGTATCTGGTCGATGGTTGATATGGACTAAAAAGGGGGGTGTGATAAACTCTTCGTTATATGGGTCTGACCCACTTTAACTGTATGCAAATCAACTTGAAAACAATGTTGCTATATAGACAAAGGTGAATTTGCATGTGTTTTTCTGGCTTAAAACCAAAATAAACACAAACTAGTCTGCAATTAGTTTGTTTCATTTTTTCTTGTTTCTCATATGATTTACTGCAATCTCTGGCTAAATACATCATAACATTATATACAATCGTTACCCAAAAAATCTGTACAACATATCTGAGTTTGGAGAGGAATCATATCATGTGGCTTGGTGTCTCCTCATTGTGAGATCACTGTTAAAATATTTAATTATCGATTATTGCGGTTTATACTTGATCCATTCCTACGTCCACGTCCTATAGACAAGCGTGTTCCCATGTAATATGTAGCACTTGCTGGACCCATGAGTCACGGACTGCTCTTCTCTCACCAATCGAAACCAATGCAGAATAACAAGCAGAGTCAGCCTGGACACCAAGACATAATTAAATTTTAACGTGCAAAATGGCAAAGGGCAACACTCAATTGTGGCAGGCAATGTCCATAGATGATTACTTATTTAAAGCGCAGCAATAAGACCCAGTTAAAAACACAATTGAATCAATAGTCTTTCATTGTAATGGCCATTCAAATATGTCAATTGCTTCACTGTTTGTGGGAGATTGGCCTCTTAACTTCAGAAGAAAGAAACCAATATACAGGGACCTAATTTCTATAACAATCACTACTTAAATATTGGTATCTTAGTCATACAACTGTAAATCCTCATGTTTCCTCAAAAACTTGTTGGTGAAATGCTAAATATTCCTTGAACCAACTACTCCCACAAACTGTGCAAAAGACCAATGCTGTCTGATCCTCTGCCCCATGGCTTTGTGGCGCTCTATACAGTGCAACTCTCTGATCCAGACACTACAAATTAATTTCATAATACCTGTGCCACTCTCGGCCTGGTTGTGTTAATCTATGATGTCATTGTCGCGACCTGTGAGCGGCAGATTATTCGCTGAGGTCTTTTGGTCTGCGGGAGGTGACTGTTTTACAACCTGAACCCCACCCACACATTCTCTGAAGAAAAGTACATGTTATATGCAGGAATAATTACTCGAAGTTTAATAAAAGAGAGGCACATGGGATGTAAAACGTGCTGTGTCACGCTGGCTTAATATGCAAACAAATATTGATTTTATGATAATGTCTGACTGGTGTTTCGATTGGCTCTCTGCTTTTGCCTAGAGATTCAGATTATTATAAAGTTCATTCAATTTATGATAAAATGATTCGAACATTTAACTATAAATGTGATCATAACTGTGCAGAATCGTTGTTCTGGTACGAGCCAAAGCGGATATTGAAACTCATTTATTTGAGAACATGCAGGCCTTCTGTTCATTCAATCTTCAGTGGGCTCATTTGCAGTGTGTTGCATAAATCACACACACAGACTTGGACCGTGGAATATGTTAATAATGTGGCTGTATGTCTCTTACCTACAAACATGACTCCTTCTTTAGTCTTTTCCGCTGCCACTGCGACTCCCTCCTTGGTTTTCTCAGCAGCCACAGCCAGACCCTCTTTAGCTTTAGACATACCCTTCATAAACACATCCATCTTGGCCGGATCACTACAATGCAGACAGGAGAAAAGTCACTCTATATATTGCAACGTCCTTTGTTATAAAAAATTAAGTTACAGGGATAACCTATTCCAACCAATACGCTATATCTTTGAGTTACACATCGATTGAGCCTATATTGCATTACTGTAAATTGTATGGTGGGTAAAGACAGCACCGCCTCCTGTGGCTATCCCTGACAGCTGCAGTCCAATAAGGCCGTATAGTAAAACCTTGTGTTCACTCAAGCATACATCCCCTTTCTTTTTGCCTCCCAGTCAAAGCATGAAATATTCAGCAGCGCAAAGATTTCAATGAAATGGTTAATTGTGAACGCGCTCATTAATTATTGCGAGGCTGAAACGTTACTCTGAGGTGGATGACAGGAGGAGGCAGGGGGACGGTGAAAAGGCCCGTTTTGTGTGTGGAGATACACTGTACGCGCGCATATAGTACATTACACTGATGCTGGGGGAAGGGTGGGCATGTAGGCACGATCCAATCTGATGGCACACGCGCAACACGGTTTTAATAAGAGGCTTTTAATGGAGAAGTGATGCAAGGCTGACACGCCAGGCAATACTACTTGTGAGAAAAAAAAATGTCACTTGTGGAGATTGACAGCTCCGTAATTTTTCCACATTGGGCATGACTCCAGCCATAGAAGCGGCATGGGGTCAAGCCTTTAATCGCTAGATACACGCTGCAATTTTACGCGTCGCGCCTTCTCACGCCTTCTCACGCAGCAGCAGTAGCGCTTGCAGTTGAGTGGTAAAATAAAACCATATTTTCTAACGTTTTTCGGTCACGCTACAAAAGGAGGTGTGTACTACATCTTTCCGTCGATGCTCCAGGCGCGCTCCCCAAGAATACTGGTGACCTCTATCCGCGTGGATTTTGGACTAAATGTTAATTTTTGAAACGAGAGGAAAAAGCTTACCTATGTACAAATTGCTTTCGACTTGTCCCTCTATGGCTGACGTGCGCGGGAAGGATCAGGCAGTGGTCGGAAGAAGAGATATATTGAGGTGAGAGGTGCGCGGGCCTTCTTCGAGCTGATCTCCACAAACAGGGACGGCCCTCTCCACAGTGCGGCGCAGACTGTCACGTCCCTCCCCTCCCTCTGTCCATGCACCCGCCCTCTCGCCCGTCTCTCCTCTCTCCTTCAGCGGCTCCTCTGCCATTGATCAGCCCAGACGTCAACCGGGACGTGGTTTTTAGAATAGCTTTAAAGAGCCACAACACATCAGGCTGTTTTATGTTCAAATTAGGAAGCGGGTATTTAAACCGTACTTATGGAGACCCTAGCCCTGTTACATTAAAGCAAATACAGTATTACCATGCGCCGAGAATCATTTACAGTATGCCTGCAATAAACGTGGGAAAACGTAAAATATTGCCTCTTAACAGTCAAAGGTAGTGGTAGTAGTAGTAGTAGTAGTAGTAGTAGTAGTGGTAGTAGTAGTAGACCCCACCTCCACGTGGTGCACTATGGGCAGCAAGCCATGTAATTATGGGATCCACAACTTAATGACAAAGTGCATGTCCACGCACAAGGAAAATTAAAGTGGTTTACGTTCAGATTGCAGTAAAACCACATAGGAAAAACTGTGCAAGACTACCCCGGTGTGCACCAGGATGACACACACCAGAGCTCTTGCCACTTGTTAAACGTTTGGATGTTTAGTTCAATTTATTCAAGTGCTTTGTAATTGCCCCATATAAGATACATAAAATAAATACTAACTGGACCTTTATATAATAATTGTCCCTTTATAAACAATAATACAAAAAAACAATTTTGGAATGATATAGTGTTAGAAGAAAAAACGGATGAAATGCCACATGCTACATGCTACATGCTACACCAGAGGAGCCTTGCAGTAAACACAAACAGTAGTACAACTGCTGATCATTTAGTTTGGAAAGCTTAACTCCTCAGCCTAATCTTATTATTCTGTCACCCCGCTGTGCACTGGCAAGGTAAACAATAACAGATGATTCATCATGTTGCGTGTGTGAGTGTTCTACATGGAGACGTTCTTACTATGCCTCAAATGTACATGTTGTGGCATTAAACCTGAAGCACAAAAAACCATGGTCATCAAAACAAATGAATACATGACTCAGTGTCTCTATTTTTGCCTGCCCCAATTAGTTAGCTGTCTCAGTGGACGAGCAGTAATGCCCTCATCCAGTTAAGTGAACCAACACTGGCACAATGCACACCGTGCTGTGCTGTGCTGTGCTGTGCCAGTCTAAAGCCACTTCTGCTGTGATGTGAGGGGAATTATTTATACCCATCTTTGACATGGTTTATTGTGATAATAGTCATCTGGTTAACTTTTAGCTAAGTGTGATATTTTGTCTTGGGATACCTAACTTTGAAACCACAAACAAGTTCAACAATGCAATCTATAGTTCTTAGCACTCAAACAAGTTTGGTTATCACTGATTTTTGCGCTTGTATTTTATGGCCCCTGTTCAAGCCTCCAGTACTCACAAGGTTCTTTGTTTAAGAGAGCACAAGATAAAATGTTCAAGAGGAAGACAGTATGTTTTGTTTCAATTCATCCACAATTTATTTTCTTGTATAAGATATTGGGGTGTATTGTACGATTAATGAAGATAACACAATAAGCAGTGAGGTTCCCAGGCTTTAAGTGTCAAGACATTAGGACAAAGCATCTAATGGGAAATATTTTTTCAAATTGTAACATTGGATGTTCACTCTCCTCCAATCAACGCAAAGAATTGCCTTGCGTTGATCATGACTCCCTTCAGGCTTTGTATCGACCATTTTAACCCATTCCAGTCTTTCTAAAAGCACTACAACCAATTGATCTTGATTTAATGTCTTATATCCCACATCTCACACGTCTCATATTGTTTCACCGCTCTGTAATCAGGGAGAAGGAGGCTGAACACGTCCTGCTCCTATTTGATGCCTCTTTGTGGTAAGTGCGTGGGCAGACGTCATCCCTGTGAATGAGGGTGAGTGGCTGCGAAATCCCCCCCTGCCCCCACCCCCTCATGCTATGAGGAAATCCCAGAAAGCTGGCTTCCTGATTTGTGTCGTGTCTCATGGACTCTAGAGCATGAGTGCACAGCCGGTGGCAAAACAGCGAAGAAGCCACCCTGTAGACTGTTTTTCCTGTTGTTGTTCATTTAAAACTTTAAATACTATTGTATATATAATAATATTACCGTGGAAGTCGGCCTCTAAATCTATTATCTACTTAAAAATGTCAATAATGCCAGCACAAAAGGAAAGCTGCAGTCCGCTGCTGTAATGCGCGTCGCTGTCCGTGGTGCTGAAATGACTATGTGCGCTGTCCATGGTTCTAAAAGGCCACTCGTCTTTCCTGGGACAGAGAAAGTAGAAGTCTGTTTTATTTTATGTTCCATGGGAGCACCAAAGAATATGTTACGTAACCAGATCTTATTCAAAAACCCATTGCATTGAGCCACGCTGTAAATGCATTCAGGTTATTTTAGCTGCCTTGTGCTGAAGCTTATGGCTAACTTGTGAGCAGCGTCTGCCCTCTGGTGGGCAAGTAAATATGTTGCATCGAATTAGAATTGCCCTTGTAGAGTAGTATTTGTAGTAGTAATTGTAGTTGTAGTAGTAGTTGTGGTAGTAGTGGTAGTAGTAGAAATAGTGCAAATTGAAACACAAATCGTTTTCTCGTCCAGAGATTATTAACATTATCCTCAGAAAAAATGAAACAAAACAGCATAGTTGAATTCAGAATTCTTTTTATTGCCATGTAAGTAACATGAAGTCACGGACAGGGAAATTGCTTTGGTATGTTAGCGATAAAACAAAAACATTCCTTCCAGATAAATTTTGTGCTTCAATCGTTATTACTACTATTAATCCTGAATCTGTGTGTTTGCTTTATTCAAATGCAGGTAAGTACCTTTATGTTTTTTTAATTGTTTAATATTCAGCAAATTGTGAAAGTTGTGATCTTGACTTCACTGATTGTGCTGTGTTTGAGGTGTTAATGTCTACATATGTCATTATCTATTGGTTATTACAAATTCACACTGATCCTATTTTTTTTGAGTGCCATCGATCCATTTTCTTCCTCTTAATCTGTTTCTGGCTCGGGGGTTGGCAGAGAGAACTGCACACAATTCACAGAGCACCAGCCCCTCACTGATCCTCCTGCAGTTGGTGGGTCTACAGGAGGACGACTGCTCTGTCAGTGACGTTATCTTTCAGACAACCCTCGGGCAAAGTGTCTTGCCCAAGGACACACCGACAGCAGACATCAGTGGAGTCGGTGGAGAAGGTCTTGTGGTGGGCTTGAATGTTTGTTTCCATACAGCATGTTTCTCATCATCACTAGTCAAGTACAGTAGGTGTGGATGTTGGTGACTGGAGGGTCTGCATGTGCCTCCAGTGTCAGGCGACCTTTTAGTGAATGAAAAATATCCACAACATTTGTGCCTTATGACTATGTCTATAAAAGGTGCTGTGTAAAGATCACCCACTCATCAGGTGTTGTGCGAGAAGAACATTGAATGCAACACTTTTGCCACTAGAGGCCGCTGTTTCCACAGTGTGGTTTGTGTATAACACTGCAATGATGCCACGTAGATGTCCTTCGCACAAATATCCAGTAAACTATGACAATGATAACAGTTTATGAAAAGTTTAAGATTGTGTTCACATTTGGGTCCCCAAGTGAACCAGGGTCCACTTTAAAAGAATCGATTAGGGCAAACATGCTTCAGCTGGGGAGACAAACCACCAGACAAGAACACATTCTGCCTGGGGTCATTTGCAGTCATTTTGGTGGTTTCTTATCTCCACAAATAAAGTATTGTTTATTAGTTTACTTAAAGTGAATTCTGGTTCTATTGGGATTAAAGTGTACGCACCCTAAATCTTGAGCCAAAAATGGTAGCAAAATGAAAGTGCTCCTGGGCATGTTCATGATATTTGTTCTTTTGGACTTTTGCCAATCAGGAGAAACGGGCACGTAATCAGGCTGCTTCATGCTCACAGTTGTGTCAGAAAGATTTAAATGTGGGCAGAGACTCCAGCAAAATCCATAAGGAACATTGGAAATTCTATAAATTAAGGTCATACCTTGGGGAAAAAAAGGATTTTAGGTTAATTTTGAGGATTTATTTCGAACTTGACAAGCCCTGGCTCATTTAGACTCTAAATGAGAGTCTAATAGGGTTTATCTTTAATCACAGTGGGGGGTCATTTTGACCCGAGGGTAGAACAAGAGTTAACTTGTAAGAAGGGTAAACTAGAAGGAAGCACATCACCATTACCTCTTTTAATGTTCTAAAGCTGTGATAAGGCCCTATTGTCACACATATACGAATGATGTACCAAAGAGTCTGTGAGTGCAAGGAACTAGTTATAAAGTATTGTTTCACTTAAAGCAGTTCAAAATCAGGTACCCTATTTCTATCCCAAACAAGCAAATGAATAGGGAGCAAGCCAGTCTACAACAGTCTTCAGTCAGATGAGATGAACACGATAAACTGTGATGATTTACATGATTAACATGATTGTGTTACAATCAAAAGTACATTTATGCATTCATGCAGCACACACACTTTGTCTGAACATGTATGTAATGCAACATACAGCACACTAACTCCAAATGTGAGTTGGTCTTTCACACAAATAATTAAAATAAAAACATGTTTATGGTTGTGATGTGACAGAATGTGTGTTCAAGCCATTGGTACAAATGTGCACATGTTTAATTCAAGTGTAAAGTTTTACATGGACACAGTGTTATATTTCCTTCTCCTCTGGCCTTGAGGCTAACTTCTGGAGGTTGTTGCAGCGCGTTTGTAAAGAATATAAAACATTTTACAAGTCAAATTTGCGAGGCCAACTTGTGGTAAAAATGGTCTAAAGCACAGGGCTCATTGTATTTCCCTGAGCTGGAGCAGTCGTGGTGTTCTGACTTTAACTACCTCTAACTAGACCGCTGCTCATTAGACTGTTAGACTGATCACTGTGCGGCGTCAGTGAAAAACGCTCTGGAGATGGATCTGTCTTCAGCGGTGTTAATTCTCAGCATTCAAACAGGAAGCACGAAACCATAAAATCAAAGGCTTCTCAATGGACACATACAGGCTGTCACGGTACAGGCTGTGCACCGCTAATTAGCTCAGACATGCCAAGCAGGACTTAATTAACGATTGACAAGACGAAGGTAAGGGACACATATTCCAGCAATTAAAATTGAAATGGAAAGATGAAGAGATATAATGTTCTCTTGCTGCTTGTTGAATGAACGTGTTTCCTCCCACGTCAAGTGAAAAGTGCACATGGATGTTCTGCTGCAAAGAAATCGGTTGCCAAGGTAATGAGGAGTACAATTTCAACTAACATCTTCACTTTATTGGATTTATGAGAAATCTTGAGTTTTCCTATATTCATTATGTACATTGACTTGAAGCAAGACTTTATTTGTAATAAATAGGTTTCTCACATTGACTCCCTCGCAAAACACCCGCACTGCAGTTGACCAAAGGCATTGTAACATTCAGGCCCTATCCAGATGAAGATGAGTTCAGATGTATAAGTAAATGTGTTATGTCTGATCCAGCCCTCGTCCTCATAAAGCGGCTGTTTGCGGATTCAGATCTGACATAATTTAAAAAGGGCTTTGAGAGTGAGTTAGTTTTAACCGTAGTGGTTCGAATCTATGTTTGGACGGCGAATCCGCCACTTTATTAACTTATGTGATGACATCACAGCTCCAGCCCTGTGTTCAGACTGTGTACTGCACTTTTCATCTCCGTCTGGACATCGCCTCAAAGAAATCCAATCTCAACAAATTAGAGTACACCAGGTGTCAATAGGTTGATGTCCAACATCATTTTTGCAGACACCTTTCCCAAAGCTGACAATATGAAAGGCGAGTTTTGCACTATATTTATGTTCAGTGCAAATACTTTTAAGGTTTAAATATCTCAAAAAAGTCTCCCCAAAGCCACAGAGAAAGTGACTGAGAAGGCACTCTTAGTTTCCATGTTTCTCCCTGTGTCCGCTTAGTTTCTTGCGTCATGTACAATTGAGAATGTGTTCCACCTGAGGCCATCCTCAGGATCCACAAGCACCGCAGAACTTAATCTTTATTTATTTATATACCGCCGTTCACAGACCAGAGTCACACAGCCGTTTACAATTGTTATTTTTTTTTGGGCATTTGTCTCTCACTCCACACAGAGATAGGAGCGGGGTTGCCAGTACAGGAGGCGCATGCCAGACCTAGTGTACATATTTTTAGTGGTAGAGGAAACCGGAGAACCCGGAGGAAACCTACGCAGAAACACGGGGAGAACATGCAAACTCCAATCAGAAAGGCCTTGGCCGACCGGGAATTGAACCCAGGACCTTCTTGCTGAGAGGCGAGAGTGCTATCCACTCAGGGCTGAGTGGATAGCACTCAGCACTTACTGTCCCTGGTGGTTGCCCCAGCAACACTGAATAGTTCAATGATGTCAAATCTCAACATATCATGTAAGCAGTAATGGACTGTATGCTTTTGATGGAAATCCTAATTTATTTATCTTCAGGTATCTCGTCCCGAGTCCAGTAAATGACTTTGCAGAGAAACAACAAGAACCACAAATATATGATTTGTCATGTATGTAATCAAATGTAAATTCAGATGTGTGACTTTTAATTGCTAAAGTTTATTCCGTTTATACAAGTTAAAATCTATGAAGCTAATTCCACTTAACAGTGTTTTAATGAAACACACTTTGTAAACGCGGCTCTCAGCAGGTTTGTCTGATTTGAATTAAAGCTGCACGCTGTTTGGTGCTAATAAAGGTTCGGGTTCAGCCTCTCAGGACTCTCTTTTCCAATCCATTTAACAGAGATCCTTTCAGTACACTACATTTACTGCGCCACACGTGGGCTAAGACAATCCCAGACACTTAGCGCAGCATATTAGAAAAACAAAATCACAGAAATTGAATAATCCTTTCTGCTTGACCTCCACTAACTGCATTCGGTGCATAGCAGCACATCCAGGTAGTGCTTGTTCAATTGGTAAATTTGTAGTCAGATTTTCCCAGGAAGAGGTCT